ATGAAAAGAAGTTGAATAAATTCTGAAATATCAATGCTGTTCAATGCGACAGTTTATTGTAACGATATTATAATGGCTTGTGAATTGTAAAAATATTAATGAGTTGAGGAGAGTGCGAATAGAGCCAAGAAGAAGAAGAAGAAAAAAAAAGACTTTTCTTATTATATTCACCAATTAACTGTCAACTTATTGTCAACCTTTAGAGTTGATTCACTTTATTATGGGAACAAAAAATTAGTCCCAAAAAATATCGCACAACGACTGCAAGATGGTCTTGAGTTTGTGCTTTATTTATGCTTCGATGAGCCCATTTCTTCCTCTTCTCATATCGTTCTTGCCTGTTGTTTGCCTTGTTCATCATCATTACCATCAATATCATTATTTTTATCTTCATTTTTTCCAAAGGTCAACGAAAGGACAGCAAATTTAAATTTAAAGGCACACAAAAAGTGGCCTTTTTTAAGACTAAATTTGTCTTGTCCAGTTTGAGAGAGGAAAAGCAAAAAAGCTATTGTATGCTCTGAAAATCAAATCAACAATTCGTGTCGACATAATTTACAATTATTTTGAGATCAACGACACTTTATCCTAGAGTGGGAGGTTGGTGTGGGAGGTTGATGGACAGTCAACTCTTTGAGCCAGTCCAGCGACAGGAAATCTATTCAAACCGTTTAAGTATTTATGCTTCAGAGATAATTGTTGGAAATGCATTTTTCACTTCAATATTGTGTGAAACTTTCTTGAATTTTTGTTTTAATTGTTATAGCAATCATCAAATGTTCATCATGATTATGATGAGATTCAGTATTTGGTCAAATTTGGTTGACAATTCGTTTCAACCCAAAAACTGTTTAAATTGTTGAGCATTTTAAGTGCAAAACAATTTCCATGTCCTTGGATAACAGTTTTTGATACAATTTAATTGTTTCCATCATTTCCTTGAATCATAATTTGTACGATAATTATGATTTTGGTAAAGATTCTGATAGTTATTTTGCTTCATCTTTAAAATTCTGATGAATGATTCTTTTTGCTGTTGATCTTTTCTTGTTCAATGAGATTCATTGTCATCAAAATGATGACCAACAGATGACCAAACTGCCTCTTTTTGTGCAACTCATCAAATAAGGTTACATGTCAACTCGACCCATCTTTTGATTGCAATAATAATAATCTTGAGGTGAGAAGCGAGCAAAAAAAGCTCGAGAGTTATGAGAAAAACTTCATTTGCTCATTCCTCAAGTGCAAACCTTATATTTAGTTTAGTCTTTTTTTTCCTCTTCACCAACTGATGATAATCACACGATTCTTACAACTGGCCATCAGCCCAGTTTCAACCTAAAGGCGGACTCAGTTGAGGTGAAAAAAGTCAATCAGTTGACTTTGATCAGTTAGGAAGTGCAATTGTCAACCTGAAAATGAATGAAAAAGTTTGGCCGAAAAATTCGAAGCAAAAATTGAGAGAAAAAATTTTACACAGAAAATGTTGAAATGCTGAAAATGAGTACAAAATGAACGGCAAACATAATCATCTTGGACTAACAAGAAGCCACTGTATACAGTAGCTGGAAAAGTTATTTTTAAAGTGATTTTTTGCTTCTCCAGAGAGTAAAACGATAAATTAAATGCTTCTCTTCATTATCATCTTTAGACTTGTTTTTCACTCCCTTTCATTAGCTTGAGTTGAAGTGATGGAGGAAGCCGATCAAATTGCAGGTCAATTTTGTCCTCATCATAGGTTCTACGAATCAACCTTGACCGTCGGAAGAATCACATGATGATAGGTTATTATGTTACCTTTAAGAGGGAAAAAAAGTTGATACAAAGAATACAAGTTACAGAAGAAGCTTTTTTTTATCATTGAAGAAGCAAAAAAAGGCCAAAAAGATGAGAAATGTTTTCTTCAACTTTTTTGCTTCTACCTTTCAAGTTATCATTTCCAGGTTAGCCAGACTACCTTTTATCATGACAAAGTAACAATATTTTTCTCGACTCTGTTACAAGAAACATTGTTATCATTGATAGCATATTACAATTTCACACATTGACCAATAAAATAGTTTGGAGCAGATAATGAGATATTTAGAGTAAAGGCTATCATTATTCGGTAGCCAAGAGGAAGATGAAAGATTGCCTTTTTCACTTCTCTTGATTACAGAGTTTTGCTTTCATTTTTTTTCTTCTCTTCTTGAATCACGCCAATGCTATTAGGAAAGTGCTCATGATACTGACCTCCAATGGGCGCAACTTCAGTGTAGGTAAATGGTGACCTGAAAGCGATTGCCAGTGAAAGAAAAAAAGTTACAAGAATTTGCAGAAAAAATAAAAGTCATTTTTTCTCACAGAATGTTTACCATTTTTTGACTGTCCATTTCTGGCAGGTTTCACTGTCAATGTAAATTTGGATAAATAATTGATTATTAAAGTGATCATTGAATCGAACATTGAACGTGATTGGAAACTCCAAGTGTTCATCACTTTAATTACATGGGAACTTTGGCTTTTTTCCGTGTCTTACATTCGCTCATCAAAATGATTCCTTTTGTTTTTCCTCTTTAGGACTTTTCGTCCTTTCCATCTCAATCTCAATCAAACTAATTGAACAACAGGTATGAAAAGTAATTGGCAATCGAGACTGATGATTATGTTGAGGGTTAACAATTAGCTAAATTAATAATATCAAATGAATAATGAACAATAAAGTTGAGAGAAGAAAGACTTTTTTCTGTTGTTGATTAGTGAGAAGAGGCAATGATATTAATGATGTACAAGGACATTGAGATCATTAAAATGTTCATTTGTGATTTTACTTTATTGTCAGGAGAGGGACGAGAGAAGATGAAAGAAGACAATTTAGACTGAGCAAGTTTGACTGTAAGATGAGTGGAAGTTGAGAGGAAAGATGATGATGATGATCAAGATAGTTAACTGCGGAAATTGTAATCGGAAGCAATTTCGTTCGCGAATTGAGCTTTACTCTTGCTCTCTACGTTTCGTTGCACCCTCTTCACCTTTCTCAATGGCCTCAACTATTAACCTGGACAACTAATCTCTTGTAGTTTCCCTTTGTAGTTCACACCGTTCAACGATTATCTCACCGCAAACTCATCATTATGTTAATCCAAACTCCTAGACTAGTTTCAAAAGTAATCAAGAAAAGAGATGAAAACATTTCGATGCAACATTTCTCAGAAAGAGTTGACAAAAAAAAAGAGTTTTCAATGAAAATCAATTAAAGATGAAAAACAAGAGAAAAGGTAACACAAAGAGAAAGTAAAAAAGTGAAAAAAAGTCAAGAAGCTCAGGTAACGAGTGAACAAAAAAAGTGACTGTGATATACTTTAGCAACAGAAGGGAAAAAAAGATGAAAAAAGTAAAGGTAAATATCTCATCTGAAGAAGGTAAAAATGGAAGTTGGAGAAGAAGAAAAAAAAAGTTGAAAAAGTGAAAAAAACGTAACACCAGAAGCAGTGAAAACTAATTTTACTCAGGCCAGTAATTTACCATCAACCATTGGAAAAGGTAAATCTTTTTGTGTTTAGGTGAGTCAAGTAGTAATGAGAGAGAGTCGAGATCAATCAACTTGTCTTGATGGATGAAGTTGAGATACAATACATTCCGTTGTATAGTACATTATCATTTTTATGAATGAAGAGGAGAAAAAAAAGTTCCACGTTGAGAGGAAATTTAAGATGAAGAGGGAGTGATGAGGTCAAAGGTTTTATATACAATTCCATAGGCAATTTTGACTGAAGAGAAGAAGAAAAAAATGGACCAAAACTTGTATTACAGGTTACTATTTTTACTTGAAATTTGGCGAAATCAACTTTTTTCTTCTTCTCTTCCTTTTCTTTTCATTTCTTGCATCTTCTGATTCTTGTTCAACAGAGTTTTCCATGACATTGATTTCTTCTTCTTCTTTCAGGTAAAAATGAATGTTATGAATGAAAAGTTGGGAGAGAAAAGCTTTGTTAGAGAAAAAGAAAAGTTTAGCAAAAATTCGTTTCCAATTTTTCATCACAATTAAGCAACACTTTTTTTTTCTTCTTCTTCATTTATATCTTCATCTTCATCTTTTCACCAAAAACCATTGTGATTCTGTAGTCAGGAATCATGGTAAATAATCAGAGACAAAAATTGTTTCTTCTTTGTTCCTTGCAATCGTCTTGAACCATCATCTTGATTCATCTAATTCATCATCTCTTCCGTCTCAGATAACTTTGAGCTTTTATCTCTTTGTCATCAGAAGCATCTTGAGCAGTTTGTTTGTTGTTGCTGTTGTTGTTGTTGTTGTTACAAAAGGAAACAAAATCGTTAAGAAAAAAATTGCTCATTTTGGAAACATTTTGTTCCAAATGAGTTTTCAGTTTCAAGTTTACTCCCTGTTACATGTAATGATTAAAATCATTGAATGCAACAAGAAAAGAGTTGAGCAAAAAATGCAATTTATTTGAAAAAAACCAAGACAATGAATAATCTTGAAAAGGCAAGAAAAGTTGAGTTTTCCAGAGCTTATAAAGTGTACAAATTTGGTCAACTTTGATAGTTTAATGTCATCATGAACGTCACTAGTCTCTATGTAAAAGACAGAGAAGCGTGAAAATTGAAAACATATACTTTTTCAATAATCTTGAGCTTATTTGGAAGAAACAAAATGTTGGAAAAAAGCAAATCCTAAATCCTTTTAAACCCACAAAGCTGAGTAATGATAAGTGTCCTTTAGTCACCTGAACCTTAACTCATTTGTCAACAGCTTAGGTTTACCAATTAATGAAAAGTAACCCGATGATTCAAAGTGATCTTTGAGCTCTGAGTTGCTCCGAGTTAAACTTTGAGCTCATCGATAAGAAATGCTAAGACAATGCAACTTTTGAAGCAACAATTGATAACCTTTGAGTAAACTCTTGCAAAAGGACGATATTTTTACTCAGCCTGTCATTAATCATTTAATTTTGTATCTAAACTGAACCCAACTTTTTCCCCTTTACCATGTACAACAGATAATCGAGGAGATCCCAATGGCGACTATTATTATTCATCTGAAGCAGAACCTGAGAGTTCAACCAAAAACCTTAAAGGTCAGCCTAATTTTACACCATTTAACCTTTACACAGATTTTTAATCTAACCTAACCGAACCTAACCTTTACTTTTGCCAATCAAAAGGCAAATATCAATGATAAAAATTTGTTCAAATATTTCATGATAAATGAATATGAAAGACTCGATATGAAGAAGCAACTTGACCATTATTTTCTTGCTGGTCGTAAAAAAATGGTGAATAAAATTACAATTATCAGCATTATTGAATAATCGATGAGAAGCAATTAATAAAGACTGACCAGAGTGTCAATGGTAACCACAGGACTAATGACAATAAACAATAGCCTAAAATAATATACTTTTTGGGTTCCTCTGTGCTTCATCTTCCAATTGAAACATGAACAGAATAATTTAACATTCAAATGATGATCCAATGCTCATCACCATGGATACACCGAGTACCATCAATATTATCATAATTATCATCATATTTGTCCAACTATATATAACTTTTTATTTATTATTTACTGTCCAAATGATAATGAGCAGAATGCATTATATCATGTTTTGAGGTAATGTAAATAAAAGGCAATCTAGTCTGAATCAGAAGTGAATATTTCATTTGAAAATTTTGATCAATTTGAGGGTAAAGAGGAGCAAATTTAAATAATGAATGAAAAGCAAGAAAAGTAAAAAACAGAATCGGCGAAAAAAGGAACAAAATTTTCCAATTTTTACCTTTGAATACTTTAATTAATCAAATTGATATTCAACCCAAGTCAACTCGTTAAATTTATTAATCACATTTTTACAATTTCAACGTCATTTTCTTGACTCTACTTTTTTTTATCACCAACAGAATTGAGTAGTTTTTTTTTCGGGCAAAAATACACAAAAGTCTTCATCAATTGACCTCATTCACGGATCATAAAATGTTGAGAGACATTCAGAGAAGTTGTAATAATAATAATTTGATTTGAACCAAATAATGATAATCACAATATTATGAGAATAGTTTCCGTTCATGAGTGAAATCAATCTAAATTGAAACGAGTTTCGAGTTTTGACGCAAAAAATAAAATCTTTTTTTTCTTTACCTTCAAAGCTACTTGAGGCATTAAAAGAGCAACTTTGAAACTTTATCAATTGCAACTTGATTCAACTCATGATTATTAGACAAGAAAATGAATATTTTAAGTTTCATCATTTTTCGAAATTTGAATGTTCGAAAGTATATTCTTTTTTCGAGTAATTTTTTGGAATATTTTGCTAGAATTGTTAGGAATTTTTAGGTTATTTTATTTTCTCGTTTCATGATTAGCTTTTGACTTTCAAGTTTTCAAGTTTTCTCAAGTTATCATTTTCATCTTCTCGACTTTGTCCAAAAGAATATCATTTTTGAGCCAAAAATTGCAAGATTATCATGTTTTCTTTGGATGAATTTCGTTTTCTTTTTGTTCATCATTCAAATGTCGACATTTTTCATAATTAGTTTTCCTGTTGAAAGCTTGAGTTTGTTTTTTTGTCGTTTCAAGTTAAAAGGCAAAAGTTGGTTATGAATGTTTACCATTTGATATCATTTCAATTGCATGAGATTTGGTGAAACTTGATAAGCTGAAAATTTGATGATTTAAAGGTAAAAAATGTTGATGAAGGCAGTTGTTGACAAATGGTAAGAATAAATGTTGAACAATTTTCTCGTCAATTTATTCTCATGATCATGTTCATCTTTTCCTCATCAACAGTACATTTCATTGCCATATCATTAACTGTTTAGGGTTTCATTTAAAGTCCTTTTTTCGCACAGAAATGTAAAGCATGAGAAATTGAGAGCAACTTGTAATCAACCTTGTCCTAGTTATTGATTACAACAATCATTGTTCAACAATTTCAATGTTTCAGGATAGAAATCACGAGTTCCTTTCGCCAAACAATATTTACCTGGTTGAATTGATGTGATCGCAAGCGGCAAGACAGATGAAATGGAATCGAGAAAATGTTCAAAAAAGGTTCGAAAATGTAGTTTTCAGAATCGACACTCGAGGTCACTACAAGTACAAAGTTTAAACCTTTTCTGAAGCTTTTCAAACTTGAGCAAAAGCCAGTTTAAAGACGAGAAGTGATGAAGATGAGGATCAGTGTACAGTTGATTAAAAAGTGTCTCATTAACTGTTCAGATTAGTCAATATTTTGACATCGAAAATTAGCTTTTGCTAGGAAAAGTCAAAAAGCAAAAGGACAATACTAGAAATCAGTTATTCTGTGTTATTCAATCTTCGAAATTCAGAAAGAAAAGATGAAATTCTTTGAAAGAGTCTTCTCTTCATGATCGATAAAGCTTGAAATTCAGTTTGTCTAATTGTCAGTTTTGTAAACAAACAGATTCACCAAAAATCGAATCTTGAGATTTTCGCCACTTTTTCAGAATTATCACAAATATTCAATAGCACACTCTTCATATTGCTCAGTCAGATTAACTTAAAGATAAGCTTTTCGATTTAATCGATTTTCTAAATCATATTTTAGCATTGCATTTATGAAAACAATTACAATTTGATCAGTAAATAGAGGAAATTGAATTGATGCGAATGATCCAGATCGATGGCTTTTTCACAGAAACTAAAAGTTTTCATTAGTTTGTCATTCTGTGATTATGCTAATGGGGGACAATGTCTAGAAGTATCAAAATATTGGTAAACAAACAATGTGAACGACAAATGAACAATAATTTGGATAAATTATTTTCTGTTCTGCAACTGTGAACAAACTTATCTCGTACAAATCACATGTAAAAACGCATTTCTCTGCCATTTTTTACCTTTCCATTTATAGCTACTCTTGCTGCTGTTACCTTTTAACCTTAAATGTTATCTTACACGCACTTTATTCATTACCATCACTATTATTACGCTTTTTTATACACATAATAATAATGATAATATTGTTCCTTTTTTGTCCTCTTTTTGCCTTCTCTCAATTTTGATCCTTTTTAATTTGTAAACGCATCATTATCATCATCATCATTATCTTACCTGAGATTGAAATAGATATACATGCAATGAACACACATGAAGAGAGAGAAGCAGAAAAAAGGTGATTTACTGATTTTCATTGGATTCAAATTGAAGATGGAAAGAAATGTTTCAAACTTGACTGCAAAGTTGATTATTGCTGCAAGTTTTCATGAATGAAACTTTGAATGAAAATGTTGAAGCAAACGTACATTTGTGTTTGTTTTTGGAAAACAGGAAAAAAAGAGATTTCTTTTCATCATCACCATAATAATCATCTTTCAGTTTTCCATTCAATTTTTCAATTCTCTTTCATCATGATAATAACAGATTGCCTTTTATCACTTTATCAAACTCAAGCAAAAACTTGAAATGTGTTCTCTTATATTCACAAGCATTTATTATGTAATCATAGGAACACAAATCAAGGTGAATAGTTGGAAAAGTAAACTTGATCATGAAATATCATCAACTATTCATGTTGAATCCAATGAATGAGGGTTGATTTCGCGTTTCAGAGAAAAATGGAGAAAAAAATAATTTCCATCAAACACTTCAATTGTTATCAGTTGCTTTTTTGGGTAAAGAAAAAAAAATCTGCCAAATTAGCTTGTTGATGCTTTTGTTTGGCAACTATTATGATTGAATGTTAAGCTAATTTAACCTGTCAACGCAATTACAATCATATTTGTTGCCTTTGCATCAAGAGTTCAAGAGTAAATCAAATGTCAAAAGTCTTTGCAATTGCCACTGATTCAGGTTAATTAGTCTTGCAAGTTTGTTCAACATTTTCATTCTTGACTGAAGAAAAGCTTTCAAAGTTGAAAACTAGGGAAAAAAGCGAGCAAAGTTGGCAACAGTAAAAAAAAGCTGAAAACTCAACTAATAGACAAATTGTTCATTGAAGTGAACAGAAAATGAATGAACAATGAATAAAGTGAAATGCTAATTATCATCATTATTAACATATTACAAGTTGTGATTTGTTAGGAGAGAAGAAGAAGAAGAAAAATTGTTTATCAAACATTGAGAATTGAGAAGGACCATTGGTCAAGCGGTGCAAATTGTTTCACTTTACATTCATCTTTGTTGGTCATCGTTGCGGCACATGAATACTGTTAGTTGATGACCTTATTAGAAGCTTGTAACTGTTAACAGTTGTTTTCATGTAATCTGATACTTCTGTTCAAGAGTAAGACGTAAAGGTAAAGGCGATCCATTGAAGCGAAAATGACTTTTCCTTCTTTCTCTCTCTCAATCTCTCTGTGAATGAATCCTCTGGTGAAAATGATTACCATGTTGTGTGTATAAATCAAAATGGTGAATAGAATTGGTGATTTAACAGAGAGAAAATTTTGTTCTTCTTCTTCTTCGTTTTCCAGTCAATTGGTTGGTAAGAATTTGCCATTTTATGAATGAATACTGAGCAAGGAAAGGAGTAGCCCAGAATAGAGTCTGAAAAATGGTCCCACAAGTCGATATGAAAGTTAACCGGTCATGCATTGGTAGTGATCCATAGAGTGAATTCAATAGTATATATAACGGTTTGATAGGGCAACAAGCCAATAGACAAGGAACAATTTATAAAAACTTTTCTTCTTCCAACAAATGACATTTATTCATATTTTTATTTGTCAAAAGTCCATGTAATTCATAGACATTTAACTCTTTAAATGCAGCTTTTACCTTTCATGATTTTTTGTTCAATGATTTTACATCTGATCAAAACTTGTAAGACATTTAGGATGATCAAGTTGACCAAATTTGGTTGACTGACTTTTATCTGAATGAAAGGAGAGGAATACAGAAAACGATAAATTTTGTGAAAAACAAATAAAATGGACAAAGCCTTTTCTTCCAATGCTTTGTAAAACTTAATGTATGCCTAATGTCACAGTTTACCTCTACATTCAAAGTTGTCCTCCAAACCCTCATGAGAAATGGTTGAAAAATGATAAGAGTTACTTCATTTATTGGATTGAATGAAATGTCAATGTCCTTCAAGTTCAAAACTCAAAGCTTCATCAGGTTATTTTGCATTATTATAACAACTGATTTGATCAGAAACTAGAGATCTTTAGATTTTGAAATTCATAGAAATTGAATGTTCTTCTGGCAAAATGTTAATTCTGACAATTCGTTCAGTTCAAAATCTGTATTTCTTCTGTTACTTCAAAGCTTAGGTTGCTCAGGAGTATGTTAACCTTAAAAACCTACAAACCGAGCTTTAGTTAATCCTTGACTCGACTGGAGTTGAAGTGTGCTCTTGGCTTATCTTTCATAGATCGCTATTGAAGGTGACCGCATTAATCGTAGCTTTTGATGATTTGATTTTAATAAACATTTCCATGTTGAACATGTTCGCCATTCATTTACTCAACCTAATAGTTGACTTATTGTTTAAGTGAAGTAAACGCTGATACGGCCAATCAACGGAAATGAATGAGACAACAAACAATGATGATGATGAGAGGAAAGACGGACAGTTAAGTGATGAATAAAAATGTTAAAGTAAAGATCAGTAATTGTTAAGTCTAAAGCTATCAACATTGAAGTGATTGAGTTCATTGATAGCGGCCAAAAATTGAAAGTTACAAACCTGAATAGAAGTGAAATATTTGACAACAACAAAGATAAATCTTTACAAGTTATTTTTCGCCATCATCATCATCATCTTGTTTTCTTCTTCTCTCATGATGACTCTATTATCCATTGGTCTTTGAAGAAAGAAGAAGAAGAAGAAGAAGGAAAAAAGTACATTGAGAAGATATAATAATACTTTGTATATCCTCTCAGTGTTACCTTCAAACAATGAACAGAGTAACAACACAAAAAACATATGCAAAGCACACACAGAGAGAGGTTATATTTATATGTTCAACTGAATATAAATGTTACAAAAAAGAGACTCTTTTCATTGTTGTTGCTCTTTCTCCGTCTTTTCATCATTCTTGCGACTCTTGCCGTTCAATTGATGGCGAAAAGCATTTTGCGAAGAAAAAGTAAACTGTTGCCATTACTCTTGTCGAACCTTGGACTGTTCGACTTTTGCAAAAGTGCGCCTTTTCTGTTTTTCAATTGGAATGCCTTCAATCAAAGTTGGCACATTTGTTGTGGAAAAATGTTGACACTCGAATGTGGTTGACTGTTTACTCGATGAGTAAATAAGCCTCTGGTAATGATGTTAATGATGATGATGAGGATAATGGAGGCAATAATGATACTCGAGATGATCATCAATGACAACTTCAATCTAACGGAAGACTGAAAATTCGTTGAAGCGAAAGCAACACTTTGTTTGTTGTGTCTGATGAAAGTAAAAGTAACAGTTAAAGAGGACCACAAGATGGCGAAGTTAATGCCAAGTTATTTTATAAATTGGAGTCATGTCAATGAAAAATCTCCTTTAATTTCACGCTTATGAATCTTCCATCTCTCATCAGTTTCATCATCTTTTATAAGCATCATCAGCATCACAGAGTGAGTAAACATAAGGAAGGCAAAAAAACAAAATTATGACTTGATCCACCGATGATAACCAATGTTGAACTAATTTTACGGATATTTTGCCCAAAAAATAGTTCTTCCTCAGTGTTCCTAGTTGAACCTAATTATGATGAGGATGCAACCTCCAAGATGATGATGATGAGGATGATGGCGATGAATAAGAAGGAAAGAGTAGCAAAGTCGAGAAGGTAAAGAGAGAAGAAAATGACAGGGAAAAAGAAGAAAAGAGGAGCAGAAAAGGAGGGATCAAATGATGAGGAGGTTCTTCACTAGAAAATGATGATGATGATGTTAAGACTCTTTCGAAGTTGCAAAGGTTCTCACTCTCTTTTCTGCTCTCTTTCTTTTTCTTCTCCCTCGAAAAATATTCTTGTTCGAACTTGCTTTTTGCGCTCTTTAAAGTTGATATTTTTGACAACACACAGTACAGCACTTTCTCAGTGTCAACAAAAGTCTTTACTAAACATTGAACGATCAACGGATTGGTTCATTTGGAGTAGCAAAAGTTGTTCGACACTTTTTTTGTGACAGTGTTTTTTGGTGCCTGAAAAGGGTTCAATTTAGATGAAGAAAAGGCAACTCGAAAACATGCCCAATGACCAAATCGGATTAATCGCCACTTCCATTGTGATTTAAAGTGAATTTTTGTTTTTCGTTTACTCTCGATCTAACCTTTTCTGTGTGTTGTGTCATTTGAAGCTTGAAATTGTCTTTACTCTTGCCGAGCATTGTCGCCCTTTGCTTGTCATTTGTTAATAGTTTTACATTGAAATCCATTGAGAGATTAAAGGGTTAAAAGCAACGATTTTTAACGTTGCAAGGTTAACCCTGATTCTGTCAATCAAATGATGGATTTAACAACAGCCTATAGATATAATGCTTCCATGATGGAATACTATTCCTGTCAAAGTAAGTTCAATTTAAATTCGCCGAATTTCGTTGCTTCTTCATCGAGTTTTTTTTCTTTTCGTTATCATGATGTTCCAAATTTTAAAGAGTTTTTTGTTATTCCAAAGTTGCGTGATTCTAAAGTGTTTCGTGTTTTTATCTGCACAGGTCATGGTGGGGTTAATCAATTGGGCGGAATATTTGTCAATGGACGACCTTTACCTGACATGGTTAGACAGCGAATCGTTGAATTGGCCCATCAAGGGGTCAGACCTTGTGATATAAGTCGACAACTTCGAGTATCACATGGATGTGTATCGAAAATTTTGGGAAGGTAAAGTCAATTCTTTCTCCATCTTTACTAATCAATTTCAAGAGATTCATCATTTTCCAATCATCATGAAAAGAAGCAAAATTGCAACATTTTTCCTTTGCTCATTGCGCAGTTTCCTTTTCATCATTATTTTCAATCTTCATCTTCCTCTCATCATCATCTAGTTGTTGTTGTTGTTCATCAAGAGGAAGATGGCGAACAGGAAAAAAAACTGAATTGAATATAGGATGATATAAGTGAAAAAGAAGGAAAAGAAACTCTTTTTTATAGGTTGAAGTGATTCAGATAGGATTCATGAAAATTGGTGAAAAGATCGAAAAATTTTGACCGAAAATTTGATCTTTTCTTTGAAAAATTTAGTTCCATTTTTGGTTAAAAAAAGGTAAAAGTTTATATTCTTTACCTGGTTACTCAGATGTTTTCATTTTATCTGTTGATTCAGTTTAACTCGAGTTACAGTTATTTTGCTTCAACTTTGAATTGAAACTTTCTTCCGTTACAACGATTCCCAGTCAAAGTCAAGGTCAACTAACAGTTTCATCGGTAAAGATGATGATAGTAATAGTGATTGTATGAAGCATAACGAACGCATTTATCGGTTCATCGCTGCATGAGAAGTAAAAGTTGCTCTAGTCAAATATTTTACATAGCAAAAGAGGTTAATCGAGCTTAACCAATGATCCCAAAGAGAGAGAAGAGAGAGAAAGTGGAAGATGAAGAGATATCAAGTTAAACAGTGGTCAATGAAAATATTCAACCAAGCTTGAAAGTCTGTGAAGTTGAAAAATGGAACGAAAAATCTAAGCAAAAAAAAGAGAGAAACGAAGAAAAATCAATGAATGGAAATAAGGAAAAGAGAAATCAATTTCTTTCTTTTCACCCAACAGTTGAGTCCATTTTAAATATTCAGCAAATGATGAATGCTGGTGAAGATGCGCCTGAAATGTCGATCACAATCAATGAAACACTCGAAGTGATTAATATCACCTTTCAATAACCATTTATGCAAGATAAGCCAGTCAAGGAAAGGATCGAGCAAAGGTTTTAAACTAACCTTAAGTCTTGAAGCTTAACCTAAAAACTATCATTCGTTCAAGATTATTCAGCAGAAGGATGATTGAAACCTTGGAATTGATGAGAGTTCGTTAATCGAATGGATTTACAGTGTTCGATCAGATGGTGATGAGTTGATGAATAAAAGGAAATCTTTGTTTCTTTTTGTTCATCTTGTAAATTATTTAGAACCTTTGGGTATTTTTTCTTGTCTCATCATCTTTATGTGAGTTAGTGAGTGAGATGAGCAAAAATGTGTTCCAAAATAGTTCATGATTCATGAATTAAACTGTTTAATCTTGCACCAGATCACTCAACCAGGAATGTTATTCACACTGCAATGCACCATTGCTGTCCTGATCACATGACCATAGCCGTCTGAAAAAAAGTGAGTTATCTGTGAACCATGAACAAGTTCAGTTAACATTATTCAGACACAGAGCCAGAGGAATTGAGAAAGGAAAAGAGAGAAAGTGAGATTCATTTCCGATTGGATCCACATGAATGTATCCAGCTGAGAAGATAAACTTTGATTTTTTTTTCTCTGTGATTTTATGCAAAGTAGCATCAAACAATATCAATAAAATGCAGGACAACGCAAAGCATTGCAACAACGAAAAGACCAAAAGGCTTGAAACGGAAACAATGATAAATGGAAATACATTTACCTTTCCATTCACGTTTCATGAAGAAAAAAACTCGTAAAGAATTTAAATATTACATGAGAAAACAGATTTACAGATGAAAGTTGAAGTTGGTTCAAAATAAACACAATAATCTTGCAAATTGTGATATTTTAGTTTCCCTCAAAGTCGGAAAGCTTTGAGTTTAACTTCATTTTCATAGGCAAACAAAATGTTAACATATTTGTTAATATGATATGAAACAACAAGAAAGAGACTGAAAAATGTAGCAAAAAATGTGAACCAAAAAAAGACTCGATTACTCTGATGGTGCTGATGAACATGAGAGTTGCTCGTTAATAAGCTGCAATTTTATCCTCAACTAATTTAAATGAGTGAAGAGAGAAAAAAAGGTTTTTCCATTGAAGAGAAGCTCTTTGTCCGTTTTGAGGTGAAGTGGCCTCAGATATCTTGTATCATATCAGAGTGAAGTGACAAAAAGGCGACCAAAAGATGAACCAGAAAATAGTAACCATCAGCATCACCATCAATGGACTTGATACATTGGAATCAACCATGCAAATCGTCAATCCTGGACCGGAAGATTAGATATTTTTGAGTTCAAACAGAGAAACAAATCAAAGGAAGAGGAAAACATTTTTTTGCGCTTCTCCTTCTTTTCATCATTTTTTCATCTTCTCTCTCTTTTTTTCGCTGTTCACCAATTTTCTTGTTTCTATGTGAGATAACTCATCAATTGAAATGTTCAATCAGTTTGTGGAAATGATGAAATGCAATTGTTTAGTTTTCTTCTCTTTTTATTGTAAAAATAATTCCAAATGATTCAACTTTTTTTACTAACAATTTTCAATTTTCTCATGTCAGATATTATGAAACTGGTTCCATTAAGCCTGGTGTTATTGGTGGATCAAAGCCGAAAGTAGCAACACCGAAAGTGGTTGATGCAATTGCAAATTACAAGAAACAAAATCCAACAATGTTTGCCTGGGAAATACGAGATCGTCTATTGGCTGATGGTATCTGTGATTCTGATAATATACCTTCAGTTTCATCTATAAATAGGTAAGAACATCATGTTGGTTTAATCTTTTCTTTTCAAAAATTCTGTTCCAACTTGATTAAAGATGATTGAATACAAAATTGAAATTTTTCTCACTCTTAAAGTAAATTTTCCAATTGAATATCATTGAATTAGTTTGAAAAGTTTCAACAGAAAATGAGATTTCGAAAAGAGTTTCGAATGGAAAAGTGATGAAAGTTTTAGCAATGAAAATGAATAGCAAATGGACCAACAGTGATGATGACAAGAAGACAAACTAATCCACCAATTAGCTTGGATCATTTCTCATCATCCCTTATCAACTAAACACAAGAGCAAAGTGATTCAAAATGCGCAGGCAACTCAATCGGGAATTCAACTTCTATAGAGATTTTATCCTCTTCAAGTTATCTCTTCATCAACCTTTAGCACAAATTGAATATCAATTTTTACCCAACATTCAGCTCTTATCGATGCTCTAGACACAATTAGGTTGAACAAAAAATAGAAACACTAAACTCGAATCAAAGAAAAAGTAAATCCAATGAAAGGCTAATCATTTGCAATAAAAGTACAATGAGTGTTGACAAGTAAATGATAATCAAGTAATAATAGAAATGATCAGTCGAAAGATTATGTTTTTGGTTAAAGGCAATCACAAGTTACATAAATAATCGTCATTTAATCGTATTTGGACCTTTTTCAGTTGAGATTCATTTCGACATTTGGAAATGTTTTTTCATTAATTTTAATCTGTTTTTGTTCATTTCCACAGAATTGTCCGTAATAAGGCGGCCGAAAAGGCGAAACATTGTATCAACAATCATAATTCCAATAGCAATCAAACAACCAATTCAGCGATTTCACCCAACTCTCAGCAACCCAACAATGCAACCTCTGTAATAGTTAATGCTGCTCAACAATCATCCCAATCAACACCAACCTCAGCAACTTATTCAATTAACGGTATTCTGGGCATTGAAGAGCAACAAAGACATCAAAAAAGGAAAAATCCTTCACCAAATGAGAATCATATTGAAGGTAAGAATCATTTAACACCTTATCACAGGCATTAACATGAAGGCAAACAAGAGATGCAACAAGATGAAAACAGGCATCAATTGGATAATCTAATTATCATTATTATCTCAAACCATCATTATTGACCATCTAAACAGATTAACAGCCAAAAGTGGCAGCAACCAAAAAAAGCATTCACATTGACCAGCCAAAATGAGCTACAAAAATGTGTCTGCTTTCATTTGTTATTATTGATAAGAAACACAAGTAGAGAGAATTGAACGAAAAGAGAAAAAAATGATTTTCCTTCAACAATTCTCATGAGATTTCTCAGAGTTTCCCTTTTTTTCTACCGAAATCTTTTTCTTTTCAACAAGAGAGGCAAAAGATGAGAAGCCAAATGCAAAACAAAAGGTGTAATGATGATGCTCATGATTAACACTGAAGGTCCACTTAGAGCCAAAACAATCTCAACCAGATGAACAGCACAACACTTCAATTTGATGACCCAAACAATGAAAACAGTTGCTTAATTTATTAGATTAGATGATTACTTATCCAATCACAACTGCCATGAACCAGGCCAGTTAAGAATCAGCTTAATATCAAGAACCGAATTCGATTAACTTGAATCTCGAAACTTGCAAATTTCACCCAAAAATTCCTCACAAAGTCCATCATGAATCCATTCGACTTCAGATTCTTTCAAAGCTAAAAAAATTCCATTTTCAAAGTTCGATAAATATTGACTCGGATTGGCGTGCAAACGTCAAATTTTGATGAATCTTGAAAACTCAGGAAACACAACTTTAAGTCAACTCAAAAGTAACCTTTGAAAGTCGAGATTTTGCTTGGGTCAAGTCAATAATTGAGGAAAAATAATTTTCCGTAAAACTTATAAATTGAATTATTCGCAAGCCAGTCGGCCTAAATTGACCTTTTTTTACCATTCACATTGTTATAATAAACTTTAACGGATTTCATGTTTTCCAGTTTATATTGAAGCACAGAGATTCTTGGCAGTACCTTTTGTTATCAACCTTTAAATACAATTAAATGAAGTTGGCCCTTCGGCTATAAAGTTGATCTTTTCCTTGCACAGTCGACAGTAAAGAGTCAAAGAGTCAATTTGAATAGTGACAATAAATGGAGCTTCAAGGAAGGGAAACATTGCTTTACTTGATTTGTACTCAGTTAGAAGTCAACAATTACAATAACAAAAATTGTGGCCACCATCACAACCCATCTAAACTGACTTTAGTCTCTCTTCATCACTAGACTTTTCCATCTTCCTCACTCTCATCATCTTCAAACCTTTATGATGATAACAAACGTATTATGAGGTTGACTGTCAACCTTTCTTTGCTTCTCCTCTTCACTTCTCTGCATTACTTTCAAAGGCCTGTTGTTGCCTGCTCTTCAACGCCTCTAATGCTTTACACACTGAATAGCCTTTCCCGTTTTCGTGCAACATTATTATTTCACTTTCAATTATTTTTATTATTAACAAACAATTGTTACATTTACACCTTTAACAGCTCTCCATTGATTCCCATTTTTCGTCCTTTTTTTTGTGTTCTGTTCAGATCTTTTTGCTTCTTCTTTTTTTCTTCTTCTTGCAAATCTTTATGTGACAGATTCTTTACCTTCAAATTTTTAACTTCAATTCACTTTCCATTGTAAACCAGAGAAAGGTTAACATTTATTATTATCATAATAATTATTATTTCAATGGACAACAACTTGAAAAGATCAAGTTCAATCTCAAGCTCACACCGATTAGCTTCATTAACTTTTCAAGCTTTTTTCACATTCAATTTCCATTCAAATCTCACTTACAAAAGTGTTTATGGTTTTGGACATTTTTACTTTACTCTTTCACCAACAACAATATTTTCCTCTCATTATACAAGTTCATTTCTCACTCCATTGAAACTCTATTAATATTGTAAGACAGTTTCAAGTGGATCGAAAATTCGCACTTCGGGTTCACAAGAAACAGATAGCATTTGAACAACCGGCAGCATCGAGGTTTTACTTCAGAGTTTGGTCAAGATTTTATTCAACAGCTAATGGAATGAGAAGAAATTCATTTTTCTTCATTTGCTGTAACTTAATATTTGGTAACTTTTGGTGCTTTTGCCAAACTAATGAGGATAAACTTAGATTTTGTCATTTATTCCGTTTATAGTTGATGGCTTAATGATGATGAGAATAAATGTTGCAAAGAGATTCTTGTTTTTGCGGCTTTTCTTCCTTCGCCCACCATAATTAGACTCTCATGTCCACAAGATGTTGATGATGAGCCATTAAAAAAACGCCAAGACACAAGACAAGGTTAATTATTCAAAAGCAAAAAAAAAGTGATAATAATAATCTTACCTTTTCTGTTGTTTAATCTTTGCACCTCATCAGTCAGTTTTATTAACAGTAAAAGTGTGCCTCAAGTTTGCTGCTCAAAACACTTGCAATTAAACTCTTAATATCATTATAATCATCTAATTATGTTATCATTTTGATTACAATTTTGTTACATTTTCCTTCTTACAAATCTTGTTACATTTCCAGCGAGATTTGTTATTAATGTCAATTTCAATGCTCATCATTACCATTACAGAAGGTAATAAATACTGATCGTGTAATTGGATAGCTTTTCACCTAAACAACACTAAAAACAATCAAATGCCTTTGAGGTTTAACAATATTTACAATCATTTAATCTAATTGCTGTCAGCTTTGGTCAAGAATACAAAAGGATTATCTTGATTCAGTTTCTGCCCTTTTCCTTTTAATCAATCAACCCGATTCTCTTGAGATACTTTAAGTCAATTATTTGAAAAACAAAATGAAATTACTTTAATTGCAAGACAATTATCATAAATATCATTGAACAAACCAATTAATTTCTCATTAATCAATATCCTGCAAATAACTCACAAGGACAAAGTCAGTAATCGAAACATTGATAAAACAATTTCCATTCTCTTTTCCATTCATTTTCCACCAAAACTTATCTCGAACCAAATCAGGAAAAATTGTGATCATTTGAATTTTGCCCTCTTCATGAGTTACTTTCAAAATTGAATCTAGACAAATGCAAATGCGATGATATTTGGAGTAAAATTGAAATGTTAAAAGTCACAGTCGAAATACATTTGATAAAAAATTCATTTTTTTTATCGATCGAAAGTTTGAATAAAAGGAAAACAAAAAGGTCAAAACGATTGAGAAAAGGTTAAATGAAGAGAAACATTGATTCCATTCAATTAAAGGTTACTTTATATTCAATAACAATGAAGATTATGATTCCTTTTAAGCACACAAAGTACTAGTAAACAAGGATAATGATAATCTTGGCGTGATACTTTTACCACATAAAATCGTGACTTATACTTATTATTATAACGTGAGCTGTAAGTGTAACTGTACATTAAATATTTAGCCGATCATTTCAATAAAATTATCATTTTTACTTGTAAACCTTTTGCTAGCATTTTGTATGCAATCAAATTTGTTATCAAATGAACACCAGTTTAAGGGAAAAGAATCAGTGAGATAATTATTTATTGAGTGACTTTTGAAGGCACTTGAAGTTAATCAAAATGCAATTGTGACTGTTGATCAAACAGCAAAAGGCAAACCTCAAAACGGAAGGTCAACCAATGTGACCTCACTTTACCCCACTGAGAGCCTCATATTGACTTTGATTGTAAACATGATTTACAGGAAATCACTTGTTTCTATAAGCAAAAGGAAAAAATAGGAAAGAAAATAAAACAAAACTTTTTTTCTTCTTTTCATTCTTTTCGTTCTTTCCATCTCAACCCAATTCAACTTCATCATCATTATCATCATCCTTTATCATCAGCTTCACAGGGAATCTTTAATCATCTTTTTTTAAGTTGTTTTATCAACTATTATACATAACAAAAGCTCACAGGGAATCTCAACTGTTGACTGGAAATAAATTTTCATTTCTTCTTTTCTTCTTTTCTCCATGAAAAAGCTCATCATTATCAAAATAATTATCTTTTTGGAAACAAATTAGCTTCTTCTGTATAATTAATAACATTGATAAGTCGAGAGTGAAGGGAAAAAGTTCTAGAAATACCTTTACAAAGAACTTGCTTTTTTTGTACAATTCAACTCATAAAATATTGATGAGAATAATATCTTTAGAGAATTGTGAACATTGCGATTATTCTGCCTGATTCCAAGTGAACAGCGTGAACACTCTGAGCATTCTCATAGTTAACTCTCCAATCAATATTCTTATAGGTTCACAGGGAGTGAAATATCTTTGCAATTCTTGAACCAAAATTCCCAGTATCTTTCCAAGTCTCACTCCCTGTCTCTATACAAGAAGATGAGTTTTGTTCACAGAATAAAAGGAAGACTCTCTTTGGATCAATTTTGCAAGCTAACATTTTCCTTCATCTGATAACCTTTTTTGCCTCTTCTTCATCTTCTTCTTCCTCCACTAAAAACTCAATCAATACTATTGATTGTAAGCCACTTGTAAGTATGATAAGCTGTAAATATAATCGCTTTGTAACAAGTCAACAACAAACTCTTAAATAGCTTTACACAATAATGGCTATTATAATCAATAGAGTCACAAAATAATTAACTCAATCATTTCAGCAAATGATGGTAATAATGATAATCAACTTACTCCACTTCATCTCTTTGGTTGCTTTTCATTTTTTCCCTGTAAATCAATTGAAATTAATTTTGCCTTTTTCATCACAGATTTCAAGAGTGAGTCATTTAAAACGGAATCATCAGCTTCATCGAATAATAATGTCAATAATCGAACAAATTCACCATCGATACAAAACGGAGATGAAAATGAATATAAAGTATCAAGTAAAAGACCTCGACTTCCAAATAATAATAATCAGCAATACAATAGGTAAAGAAACGATCGAATGGTCTGACTTTGAATAAATCTAACCTTTTTTATTTACTTTGACAGTCTTAATGGTAGCAATGATCTCTATAACATTTGGAGCACTGGAGCCAATCCAGGCACAGGTTATGGCCTAGTAAATGAAAATGGTGACCCTTCAGGTCAAAGTCATCCTCATCAACAGCCTCAACAGCAACATTATGAAACAACAACCTTATACACTCCACCAACCTCTGCATCTTCATTGGGTAAGAATCGATGTAACGAAAAAATTTTCTCTTCTCTCGACTAACAACTTTCACCTAAATTAATTTCAAATCCCATGAACATGGATAAGTTCCTCAAGACAAGATTAAAGATGAAACCAAGTTGACCTTTAATTGGAGCATTTTCAGCATCTCTGAACAATTTGAAGAAATAATTTTCTCATCAAAAGTCAATGTTGAACAAAAATATTTATTTTGCTTCTTCTTTTCATTTCTCATCAAAAACATCAATATTATCATCATTGTTGTTATTGTTGTTGTTGATAGGAAATAATGATAACCTTGAGTTAAATGTACAAGAAAATGATGATTATGATTATGATGATGATGATGATGATAACTTGTATTATTATTATGATAAAAGGCAAAGTGTATTATTATTAGCTGAATGGTGAAGATGAATAAAGTTAGGTGAATATTGCTTTGCCTGTTAAGAAGCTCTTGCAAGTTTCCCAAATAAAAAGTCAAACTGAACAATACAATGTTAGTGAAAATATCGTTTCCGGTTGAATGAGCCCCACCCTTCATCATCATCATCATCATCATTCTCATTCCTCAAGTCTCAACTTTATCTTGAAAGAGAAGAAAAAAAAGTTTCCCTGTCTACATGAGAATCGACAGCAAAAATGACATAGGCGTGTGCTGCTACTTAACTTTATCTTCATCGGGCGACATCATCTTCCACCCAAGCCCTGTCTTCATCTTCATTGCCATTCCTTTCAAACCTTTCACATAATCATTTTCTTATCACAATTTTACTCTTCTGACAGCCTCTACTCTTTGTTGTTCCCTATCCATCATTTATCAGAACCATATTGTTTTACAACAATAACACTTTCAACTCTAAATGTTGTACAGTTGCAAATAACAAATGTTTGCTTTAAAATGCTATTCAAGTGAAAGAAATATTAGAATCAAATCAACTCATATGTTCATTGTTTTAACCTTTTGATGCATCTCATCAGTCTTGTGGCCAATGGAGAGGTTGAACGACCAATGAACATAGAGTCAAGAGATAATCACTTTACAAGATTAACATCTTATGTCATTTTTGCTCATCCAATGAGTGTAAAGTTAGGATCAACTTTAGTCATTTGTTTAACTTGCATCAAGCAAGTTAACCTAACCTAACCTAATCTAACCTAATCTAACCTTCAAACTTAGGATTGAACTTTGAATAGTCAGACGTAAAGCTGACTCAACCAGACGATAGTTTAATTATCACAGACTTTTCACAGTTTATCTCAACTGATCCAATCAATTTCCAGTCTCTTTAGACAATTTCATAACCTTTCTTTCCTTACCTTGAGATAAGTGTTGGATGTAAGATATTATACTCTTGTAATTATCAAGTAGACTTGAGACTTTTTTTCAACACCAAATTTCAACGCCTACGGAAATCCTTTCGTTGACGACCATTAAACGACAATTTCCAAGAGAAAAGCTGTTTTTTCTTCTTTTTTTCTTTTCTCCAGTTTTTTACCTTCTTTTGATTTGAGAAATTTTGATAAAACAGATTGAAAGAAAAGGCGAAGATGATGAAGATAAAAAAAGTGTAGATCGCAAGATGAAAGAAAAGTCTGTAACGTCTTTAAACGAAGAGTGAAAAGGGAAACTGGAAAAACCGGGTGAAAATAGTTTCTTTTTTTCTCATTTCATTCACTTTAAACGATAACAATACTCACCTTGAGCAGTAGCAACACTGGCGTTTCCGTTAATGACAATCACCATTGATTATAATCATTATTCATTATCATTGTCAATGATTGTTTACTGCAGTGCAGAAAAAAGTGAATGTAAATGTGAACAAAGTCGAGTTGAAAATGAAACTGGCAAAACATGATAATTTAAACTAAATTGTCGGTTACAGCTTTCCTTAACATTAAACGTTTAAATCAAGAAAAGGTTGCAATTAAAGGTGAAAATTGTTCAATCAAGTGTACGAAAAGCATTTATCATTGCAACGAGCAAAGTAAAAAAGTTCAACTTGAAATTCAATTTTACTCATCACTCAGCTTCTTGATGCAACAAAAGATGAAACTTGATTTTTCAAAGTCTAAAGTTTCTTATTAATCAATTGCAAGATAAAAAAGAGAAATGTTTTTCTTCTCATCAACATCATGAACATCATCAAGTTGATCATGTTGAACAATTTTCACTCTTGCGGCCTTTTCCTTTTCTCTCATTTCCATGAGTGTTTCTTGGCTGCCAATTCTTCAACAGAAATTCAAAGAATCTGTTTGGCAACTTTTAACACTCGAAATGCAAAATCCATCATTTAAACAATTCAGACGATGAAAGTCAATCATGAAACTACTCAAAATGGGTTAACATTTCATCTTTAATCTTGTCGGAATCCCTTGAAAATCAAACCTTTCCTCATTTCGCTTTCCTGGTTTTTCGGGTTTCATTTAAAGTTTCCTTGTTTTTCTCATTTTTGTTGTTGGTGAAGGGTTTTCTTGCTATTAATGAGCTTTGCATTTGACACTTTCGAAAGAATATAAAAATCACGAAAAAAAATTGAATAACATGGTGATGGGTCGCTGCTGTACCTTGCATTTCCCTTGATTCCCTTAACACACTCTAACCCTTCTAACCCAAAGTGATTGTTCAATTGAGAATTGTTTATCTCTAGAAAATCTGAAAATTCGCAAAATTCAAGTTTTCCTTTTGCTCGACATCGATTGAACAATCAATTACAGATGAACAAGTCTTTATCTGAATATACATCTAAATGAACATAACCTTTACTCTTGTCGAGTCTAATGTTAAACTCTTTTCGCTCTTTTCCTTTCTCTTCTTCTCTTTGAAATTTGTGATTCCATGAATTTCTAGTTGAATTAACGGGCGGCAGTTTGAGTCCAGGAAAGACTTCAATCATCGGTTCCACTGCCTCTGAATTTACTTTATTACAACCAGCATCGGCCCAGCACTATTACCTAGCAAATGCAAATGCAAATAATTCCAGTACAAGTGTTTCAAATGCAACAACAACAACCATTTCATATCAAGGCAAGTTCATTCATTCTGAATAACATGAAACCTAAAGATGAGAGAGAAACTTTCTTTATTTCATCCTTTCAACAAAAAAGAAGAAGAAGAAGAATTTCATTTTTAGTCTTTACACTTGTCATCCATCAATCCTTTACCATTATCATGATAATCACTCGAATCATCGTCATGAAAGAAATCATTAATTGACTCCATTGAAATTAATACATATTCATTGATTTATCTCATTCTTCTGCAATTTTCTTTCTCTTCATTTCGTACTTTTTTCATCAACAATCATTCCAGAATTTTGGCAATCTTTTCATACTTCAGATCATCAACTATGATGATGATAATAATCGCAAGACAAAAATAAAGTTGAAGAGACACAGAAAAAGCAAGTTAGTCTATAATTCAAGTCTGAGTTTCATTCACTTTCATCGATCTTGAAAGCTCTTCTGCTCATCTTTTTTTCATTATTTCTTTCCTCATCATCATCACCAAAAGCAACCCAAAAATGCATCTATATTTTTGCTCAAATAAATAGTTTTCCATAGCATTTGTTCATCCATAATCATCTTCATCTTCCGGTTACATTCAATGTAAAAAAAGCTTCTTCTTCTTCTTTCCATTTATTGTTGAAGAAAAGGTTGAAATATTGAAATTTCATTTTCTTGGCAAAACTTGAAAAAATGGAAAAAAGGTTTTGACCACAAAAACAAATGTTGAAAAACAAAGTAAATGGTGAAATGTTATAAAATCAATGAATCTCCTCCTTAACCATTAAACCCATCAATTGAACAATTATTAATGATTAACATTTTTCTTATAGGTTCAGCCTCAGTGACACCACCAAATGCAACTCCGGCGACTCCAAGCGAGTATTATGCAGCATATCATCAAGCAGCTTATGCTTACCCAAATTATACTTATGGCAATCCACCTACAACAGTCCAACCTCCAGCTCAGAATAATGCTCATATTCCCATAAAGATTTCCTGGCAATGAACGAAGCAAACCGATTAAAAAACTCAAAACAAAACATTAACACGATTCAACATCTCTTGGACTCATCACAAGAGCACTCACAACCTGAACCATTAGTCTTTTGGCATCATCATCCCTACCATCATCATCCCTACCATCATCATCACCACCTTGTCTCAAGGTTCAACAATAATATTATTACATTATTATTACTTATTGATTATATTATTATTATTATTATCATTATTATTATTTCGATTAATCCTTTTTATCCTTTTCTTAATTTTTAATTCTCACTCAAACCCAATTGATCAACTGGATAAATATATTGAAAGTAAATCTAATTGATATCAGAAGGCGTTAAACCAAAACTCACAAAATCACCAAAAAATTTATATTAATCATCCTTCATCTCTCACCCTTCATCAAACACCTTTTTTTGTATTCATTTGTTTTTTGTTTGCTTGTTCATCTTGCACACCAAAGCTGTTTGTAAATCAAAAAGGTAAACAGGAGAATGAAGAAAATCTGAAATTTGATAAACAAAATTAGTATTATTAATGAAATTATTAGAAACAAATTGTTGGCAAATATTTTCTTCAAACTCATTTACCTTCTTGACACACCTTGACCCTTAGCACGCTTCCAAAATCATCTTCACTTGCAAAGTTCATTTTGTATTTTTTCTTCTTCTTCCCTCCTTTTATACAATGTCCAACCCTTTTCATTAATCTGTTAATCATCTTCATCACCATTAGAATCAAAAACAATGGAAATTGATAGAAACCAAAAAAAGGGAAAAGTTGAACTTGGGCTTGAGTTTGCAATGTTAACTGAAAACAAAACAAAAAGATGCAACAAGCAAAAGTTATTGGACAAATTATTATTATTTGATAAATATAAATATAAATGTATAAAAATATATATTTAATTATGTAAAATTGTCACAAAGTCTCTGGTAAACATTTAGTCACTCATCAAGAGAAAGCTCTTTTGCATCGGAGATTCTTCTGAATTTGTTTTTGTTTTGTTTTGAGTAAAGTTCTGTCTGGAGATGGAACAGTAAAGATGCAAAAAACTGAAAAGCCACTGGTCATGGAAAGAAACGGAAAATGACTAAAAATGGAAATCCTTTTTTTCTCTCTTCTTTTCTTTCTTCTTGATGATGATGATGATGATACAGATGATGCTGCTCACGTGTTAAGAAATGCTTATTGGTCCATATCATCATCTCACTCACAATTTCATCTTTTGTGCGATTCTCATCATTCGCTATGAATCTCTCTCTTTCTCTTTCTTCTCATGTGATGACTCGAGCCATTTTTATTTAACACAAAGATTCACTCAATTTGAAAGGGTCACACGTGTGGCTATTGATTGTTCATTAAAAATGCATCTTAAGATGATAACCAAGATGATGCTGTAAATGATGATGATGATGAGGATTTGGGCAGCAAAAGCAACATTGTAATATTAACTTTGACCCGACGCAAAAGTCAAAAGACAGTTGGAACACAAAACACACAAAATTTGGGGCAACAACAAATGAGTATTTTATTCCTCACGGGTGTTTAATTGTAAACTTTCTTCTTCTTCTTCCCTTTTCTCTCTCCTCTCTTATCTAATTGTTTTCAATCCCTGAATCCCATGTTTCTCTTCTGAACCAATCTACTGGTTCAACCAAAAAACCTAACCATTTGGAAACATTTAACAGATCAACTTTCATTTTGAAAGTTTTTTTTATCAAAATAAAAACTTTTTTCAAAACATTTTCTCTTTCAAAAACTTTATTTCCCAAAATTCAAACTTTCTCGGCCAAAACTCAGCTTCAAATTAAATCTCATTTTGGTAAAGCTAAAGTTAATCGCGATAAATCGAAAAAAATTCGATTTTTTAACCTTTGAAGATTCACTTTTAAAAGCGATCTTTTTTGTTGAATAACAATCGGATTCAAATTCAATATCGGAAGCTAATTAAGTGCGTTCAGTTCATAATATCGGTAATAATCACTAGAAAGTAGATTTTTTAATTTTATCGAAACTCGAGTTTAAAATTGGAAAAATCTTTGAATGTTGTTTGGAGCTTCAATCGACTTTATTGGAAGAAATTAATTTTAAAGTTTTTCATTTCATTTTTTGAGGCAAAATTCTGTAAATTTGTGTTACTTGAACATATCAACAGTTGACAATATTGATCGTTTTACCTTTAAAAATGTTTTGTTTGTTTGTTTGGCTACAATTAAAAGTAATTATTTTTGGAATAATTTTCTTTTACTTTTTTTCTCACCGCGAAATGAACATTTTTGCCTTTTTCCTTCAGCAAAACAATTGTTTTAATGAACATTATTCTTTGGGGTTTTTTACCTTTTATCATGTTGACAGGAAACTGAGTAACAAGAAAGTTCAATTGACTTAAGATGTGTGTGCAACGAGGCAGCTTTCAGTCTGACAAGTTGAACATCTAATTGAATATCTTGTCATGAGAAGAAGAAGAAGAAGAAGCAAGAAGATAAAGTTATAAGTGCAAAGGTGACTTACTTAGAATAAGTTGATTTGTATCTTTGAGAGAAGAAAGAGAAATGTTGTCATCATGATGATGATCATCATGCAAAATGGCAACCGGAAGAAAGAGAAAAAAGAGAAGGAAAAAGAGAGTAAAGTGTATCAGTGCGAATCACTTTTGAACGGCTTTCTTTTCCTCTCTACTTCGGGTGTTTATTGTTATGCAAGTTGAAGATGATGATATTTATGATGAAAATTATACTATTTTAAAGTTGCTCTTGTTGCTTCTTCTTGTAACAATTATTATATTATATACTTGCTATGATCGCCTTCGGAAGCAACTGGCAGAGGGAAACTACAAGAGAAGATAAAAAAAAGGTAAAATAAATCTTACCGGAAGAACCTTTTTCTTACATTCATTGTCTGTTGCTAATTTTTATCATCATCATTATACTTGTACTTGTTTGACACTGGACTTGATGCTCTTCCTTTCAGTCTCTTTAATCTATGGGAACTTTAATCATTGGTATCATTTGAAACTCTCCTCGCTCTCTGTGTGTGACTGGAACGTGACACTTGTAAGATTATTAGTAAGCACACCTTATTAGCTACCTTCAGTTAACCCACTTCCGATCTCATCGTTATCTTCTTCATATTCACTCAACCTTGCATTACCTTTTCTTTGTTTCATCTTTAAACTTCCATTGAAGGTTTAATATTTAAATTCAACTTTTCATTAAAAGGTTCACTAAAATTGTCCCCGTTCTTTACCCTTAATGACACAGGATAACCTGGTGATTAATACCGTTAAATGACGGAAGCAGGTCAGGTCGAGATTAATCTCAAGTCAATCTTCACCGAAATCCTCCGGAAGGAAAATTAAAAATTTAATGTCCATTAAAATCAAAACAAATTAACTTCCATTGACATTGAGGTTGACTCAAGTCTTGTCAGTCGATTCAATGTCTAGAAGTTAATCAAATCAACTTTGATCGGAAATTAATCGATATAATTGTTTTACTGTCTGGTCGAAATAATGACTTCGAAATATTTTGTTCGTCAGAAGGCACGAAACTTGGAATCAAATGGCCTTTTTGCTTTTCTGGACTTTTTTCTCACCAATTCAAGGCAGAATATGAGACTTTTTGTCGAATCAAATATTTGCATGAAAATTGAGCTTCTGTTAATTAGTCAGTTTGGATTCATTTTTTCCAGCTGCTACTTTCATTCAAACTTATCTGATTTGCTCATTTTGACTCGATTCCAAGATGAACTTGATAGCTTATTGAAAATGTAAAACACAAGATGAAAAGTAAAAGATAAGCAAATATTAAATTGCAAATTCATATTAATGTTTTTTCTTCGCTTTACGATAAAAAATGAAACTATTAATACTTGCATGGAAGGCTGATAAATTAACGATGAAACTGTTGAAATTTAATGTTGAAAAGTTGAGGAAAAAAGCTGTTTAGGTTCAATTTTTTTCTCGTTTCCAAAAAAAAGTTTAATGAAGATAAATCTGAGTTCTTTGATGAAATGAAATAATGTTCAACAAGAATTGTTCATAGAAGAGCCAGGAGAAAAAAAACGTAATGATTAAAGTGAAAAAACGTAGGAAAAGCGATTTTGGCTGAAAAAAAGATTGCAATTTTTAATGAACCAAGTGATGTGCAAAGTAACATCAATCATTTACAATCAAACAATATAGAAAGAACAATGAGAGAAGAGAAAAGGAAAAGTTGAGTTAAAAAAAATGACAAACCACGAGTTATCAGGCAAGTAACAGGCAGTTCAAATTGAATCTCATGGGAATGATGAGCTTTAATGACATTTTCAATTCTGAAACAAGAAATCAGGAAAAGTTTAAAGGTTAGTAAACACTTGTAATGTTGAAGGTGAAGGGGAAGGATTTTTTGGCTGAAAATGGAAACAATTTGAAATTTTTGCTTCTCTTCAGTCTTCAGGTTAATCTGTGTGTTGACATTGTTATCAGAATGATCAGGTAAAGAGTGAGGTTTAGTGTCTATGGTAAGGTGCTTATCTAAGCACGTAAAGGTATCAAATTCTTTTTTCCTTCAATTGATTCACAATTGATAGAGAAACATGATACTTAGTACTTGCTGATGCAGATAAGGTTGAAAAGTTGAATTGAAACCAACAAATGATACTCATGATAATTGTAATGTAAAGTTATAAAAAGGATTGGCGATGTAAATAAGCTTTTGTTGTCACACAAAATTATCTCTCGATCTCTGACCTCAATGGAGTTTTGCTTTTCTCTTCTTTCTCTATTTTCTCGAGCAAAATAAGATGATGATGATGATGATGATAATGTTGATGAGGAGGAAAATAAATACAAGAAATTAGAAGACATTTCTTTCTTTTTCTCTTTCAGTTAGTTGTTGTTCATTTCTTATCGTTAATCAGTGAAAATATACAGTTAGTTAGGTTAAACCAAGCAGAGTAACTACATTAAACTATTTTTAAGAGATACTTTGCATTTAATTTGACTCTAGACAAGATCAAATCACACCAATCCTAATGAACAAACCGAGTAAGATGATGCTTCCAACTTGACTTTAAATTTTTACTGTCATCATCATCAACATTATCAACATTAACATAAGGAACCATTAGAGGCACTAAGGAGAGGAAAACAAGCTAAAACTGAATCTTCAAAGTGGTACTTCATTCTGATTACCTTGTCTTATGTGTGTCTAACAAAAATCTAATCGTTAACCTTATTACCCTAACATTAATTGATATCAACATATCAACTGGCTAAGCATTGGTTACAATTAAGAGTTGACATTATGAGAAACATCATGAGATTGGTTGACATTTTGTTTGGTCTCTATGATTATTACTCCAACTTGAATCTGCGATCAATTTGCGTGTTGATTATGATGACCATTTGTGAGTTGAGAATCCAATTTATGAATAAATCATTCTTTTCCTGATAACCAGATGATGGAAAGATGCACTGAAAGAGATGCAAAAGAAAACAATTAATTTGATTTACTGGTAAAAATGGAAGCAGAAGAAAAGGTTAAAGCAAATGACGAGATTTGAAAGGCAAAGCTTACCAAAAAAAAGAGATGAATTGGCTTTCAGTTGGTTTCAACAGTTAAATTGATTGGTATTAATTGGTTCATTGGGTCGTATAATCAGTTTAACATTATTTCTGTACAATCCAAGGCCACATGTTAACTGTTTTCATGTTGATAAACAATTTCTGTTGATATTTCGATGTCTAAAGAGAGGTGAAGAAGCAGAAGAAGAAGAAGAAGAAATATAAAAAAGATTAGATTTTTTAAACAATTGTATTTGCACAAATTGTATAAAAGTAAATTAAGTTGGACAAAAAATGGGCAAATAAATGATCATCAGCATCGAAACAACATTAGTTTTCGTCATTATCAAGCAAAAAAAGCCAATCCCAATGTCAGTTATTAGATTATTTCAATATACAAAAACTATTCGCATTCTGATGAGTTGATCATTATTAATACATTATTATGATATTTGTCTGTCATTATCATTAACATTTGATATTATTATCCAATACATTTGGACTCTATTTGTATAAACATAATAACAAATAACAATGAAAATGTATATACATATGAATATGACAAACCATAATAATAACACTAATGAAACCAAATAACAATTATCATCATTGGACAATAATATAATAATGACAATATAAATGTGTATTCCCTTCATCGATATTTTTACTCATTTTTCTCATTTCCGTCTATTTTTCATCATAACCATCAGTAAGCAGAAAAAAATCATCATAATCATCATCATAATCTTCAACTCTCTTGAGGTAAAATAATAACTTTTTTGTATAACTATCAAGATAGACTCAAATCGATATAAAATTACAGATATTGGTCATTAAAAAGGGAGAGAGAGAGTTGAAATGAATTACATTCATTGGATTAACATTTTGTGATTATCATTATTAAAGTTATTGGGCGTTTTGTCGCCTTATATTGGGTTGACTTGTTTTGACCCTAACTCAGAATGATTCCCGAAGGAATCATCAATTTTGAGAGAGAGGAAAAAACGGTGAAAGAGAAAGGGAAAGAACTGAAAATAACAATCAGAACATTTGATAACAGAAGGAGAATCAAAAACTAATAGAAATAATGATAACATTGTTACAGAAGAGAACCATCTATCCTCATCCCTTATTGTCTTGGCTTTTGTGTCTCTCACTGGTTGAATCATTTAGGGAATCAGTTTAATCTGACAATGTGATTTCATTGGTAAACCTAAATACACATTAAAAGTATATTAATTTGGCTTTCAAGTAGTCTCCTAATTGTGTCTAACACTTACTTGTAATCCAATCTGTTGTTTTCAACATGATTAGTTGAGGCTTTCACAATTATATCACGATACAAGTGATCAGGTCAAAACAGCTTGGTAACAGGTTCATCTTGTATGATTATGGATGTTGCCAGTAATGATGAAGACGACGATGAATCCATTTATGATTTTACAATAACTTTACCATTCTAATTGGTGAAATTGCCATGTGATTGATTACATTTCGATTTCATTTCATGCTCATTTAAGAATGCAATTTACTTTTACTTGTTTCTCTTTTTTTCTTCATTTTACATCAACATTGGTTCAGTTATCTCTTTTTATTCATTGCAATTTGAAATGGTTCATGATGCATACAATGTTGGTATGAAATGAAGAAAAAGTGAGAAAGATTGACTCAACATTGAATGATTATTATGAGAAATAGCTATTCAATAGTAAAATTAGTTCCATGATTTAGACTTTTGACACAAGCACATGAACCAATAAATCTTTCTCCATTACCAAACAAGTAAAATCTTCATGAGAAATGAAATTGAATCAAAAAGCACAAAAAATTTTCAAAAACAAAATGAGTAACCAAAAAAGCTAATAATAAGCATAATTGAATGGTGATTAGTCTTTTAGAAGAGCTATAACGACGTTGGAGTAACCTATTTTTTGAGTTGTTAAATCTAAAAAGTCAAATGATAATGTCTGGTGTATACATAGAATGGAATGAATGAAGGAATATGATAAAGAAAGATGAGAAAAAGATGAGGAGGAAAGAATGATAGAGCGAAGAAATCATCTGCCTCTTGCCTGGTGCCCATTCATATTAACATTTAATCGGTTTCATTTTCATTCGAGTGAATCGTTTCTCTCATCTTCTTCATCATCATCTTTCTCTCGATCCAAGTCTAGTTCCTTCTCACTCTGTTATACAATGTACATATAATAATAATAATAAAGCCACCAAACACTCATTGAACTGTACATTGAATAATAATAATTTACTTTCTATTTCTACTCCACTTTTTTTTATACCAATCAATCGATAAGTTTTGTCTATTACTGTGACTTCAACTAACGCAAAAGGTTACACACTTTGTTGTGAAAATAATGGGCAACTTTTTAGTCAATTTTTTTCTCACTTAGATTTGGCCTTTTTCTCCATTGAGCAACAACTGAATCCATCGATCCGGTTAATTCATGCAAATTTGCTTTCAACTATTCTTGTCTTATAATCATCATCGTCGTCTCCATCATAATCATCATCTTTTCCTTCCTTGTCTTTGCGATTCTCTTTCTTTTATATCACAATTATCATGGTAAACTGAAAGAAAGGATAAAAAAGATAACATTATTAATAGTGAAGGCAATGATTTTCATCTTCTTTTTTCAGCTTTTTGTTTTGTTTCTTCTCTCAGAAGCACCAAATACTTACATTTAACAGTTGACTTCAACATTATACATTATATCAATATATGGCAACCATGAGATTGAAGTTGAATCTCACGCAAATGCATAATATCACCCAATAAACATGCATAAATATGCAACGTAAAATCACTCCCAGTTTATGTGATGGGTATGAAAAAATTTGAAGTAAAAAAAGATTGTTTTTTTGTTGTTGCTTAATAGCTTTCAAGGGTCAACTTTTTTTCCCAAACAAATGGCTAATTAACTTTGTGTCCATACAAAACAAAAATAACATTTCATTATTATTGCATAATTGATAGTTCATTAATGAACATCTTGATAATTATAATGATGGTCATCATTAAAAGCAATCAAATCATTTGAGATTGCTTTCTTTTGACAATCTGGACGAGCACCATGAAACATCCTAGAGAAACAACCGAAAGATGGAAAATAATGGCTTGATGCTTAAATAGACTTCTATCACCTTTAAAATACTATCCAAATCACCTCTGGTCGGATATCATTAACAATTAACCATCTAAAAACAGGCTTAAAACAATAACTTTTGATGTTGGGTGGGAACCAGGAAAATGGAGGAAAAGCAGACGATAAAGACACTTTGAATCCATTGGTTGTTTCACAGATAAGTTAATTTTTGATCAGCGCCGTCTACTATACTACCAATGGCATAATTAAGCATCTTACGTATAGTACAATCGAGGAATTAAGTTGAACAAGATGAGAAAAAATACAATTACACTAGTTTCACAGATAAGTTAATTTTTGATCAGTAAATTGAGAGGGAAAAAGGAACAAGAAAGGGGTCATCTTCTAATTAAGATCTTTAGCTTTTCAAAAGAGAGGGACAATTAAATCAGGTTAACAATTGAAGAAACAACAAATGAAAGAATAAATTGCAACAATTTAATTTAAATTGATATCAATACTCCAAATGAGATTGACTTTCACTTTGATACACAAAAGCTGAAAATACTGTTGCCCATTGAAAATGGGTTGTACATGCAAACATGATATTAAACACTAACAAAGAAAGATGTTCAAATCAGTGAAAGATTCCTAAATGATGAAGGCGGACTTGAACCAATAAAATTAACATTGACCATCACCATTCTAGTCAATTAAATTAAATTGAATATAAAAAATTGTAAATAGCACTTTTGATTGATTGGATTACATTTAATAATGGCGCTCAAACATGTTGTATCTTTGTTGCAAGTTAACAATTTTCACTCCCTTATTTTACTCTCCTTTTTGATTGTTACAAGAGTGTAACCAATAATGATAATAATAGCAATAATAAATACATATTGAATTACCGAACAGATAACTGATCAAATCTCTTTACAACTTGCCATTTTCGTGTTTACTTCAATGTTTACCTAAATCAATTTACGATTAAATAAAGTGATGAGATTATCCCCTCAAAAAGCCCATTCAACTTTCCTCATCACCTACATGTGAGCTTTGAAAAGCTAAGAATGATGATAAACAAGATGATAATGATGATGCTTTTCACTTTCATTACTTTACCCAGTCAATAAAATATGTTTTATCCAGTTCACCCTCTTGTGGTAATGCAATTTGCATGTTACTTTTTATTTTCACTTCAATCTTAATCTTGATCATTCCAAGAGCAACATCCATTAGGTTAAAATGAACCATAACAACCTTTGCATCAAACCTTTTCAAATTCAATTTGATTCTCATTTTGAGTTGCTTTTTCCAATCACAATCACCAATAACATACGAACCAGAAAAATCATCAAATGAACAGTTCTTATTACATCGAAACAATTAATCAAACACAAAAGTTGACGAAACAATCAAAGAAACATTTTCCACCTTTGCCATTTCAATGAATGGAAATGATTTTAAACAGCTTTTCGTTTAAATTGAAACTCAACTCCAGACTCAACTTGAAGTGAAAATTTATTAGAATCAAATCGACTTTAGACTTTGAGTTGAATTTGTTCAAGATCAACCCTTTTCCAATCAAGATACAATGTAATTTAAAATAATCAGATCAAGATTAACCTTTGATTCAAAGCAGTTTCTAGTGATTTGATGTTCAGGAGGAAATCACTTTAACAGTGTTTTTGAGTAAAGGTTTCGAGTTGAAGATTTTGCTATGAAAATGTGTCTTTTTGTCGATTAGGATTGAATAAACTTTGGTGATAAAATAATCAACAGCATGGTCAATAAACTTGCTTAAATTGGCATCATTTTCCTGGTACAATAATAATGGGATAAAATGTTGAGAGTAAATCATGCAAACCTGTAAACCTGTGAAAAACTTTAACTCAACCTGATGCTATCAGTTGAATAATGAGAGGGTCAAGGTTAGGCTGAAGTGGTTGAAATAAAGTTAGAAGGTCCAATGGTTACAGACAATTTGCTATTCGGTCAACTAAAATTTACTCTCTTTCCTTGTTCCTCTCTATCATAATAATAAAATATGAAGCTTGGTTAACCTTGGGTTTTCTGGGTTAGTTGGGATAAGATTGTGCGTATTGGAATGCCTAGTTTAACAATGAATGATTTTGAGGTAACGGAAGAATGATGTTGATACAGTGAATTTGTTTCCTCAAATCTTCCAATCATTTAAAGGTGCATTTACACATGAATATTTGCCATAGAGCAAGTGAGTGGGAAGACAATGATGTAAGGAAACTGTAAAGGTAAAGAATCAAGAGACCAAAAAGAGAAAGTTAATTTCGATTACAAGCTTGATTGAGAAATTTTATCTTCTTCTTCCGATTGTTCACTTTTACTTTGCAAAACAAAATGCTGAATGAATGATATTAATACAGAGTAAAGTGGAAAGCAAAAAAAGGAGTAAATATTGTTTGACTCAATTTCATCTTGTTGATATGGTCATGGAGAGGTAATCTTGCAATGAATGATCTTCACCTTTTGCCACCTATTTTTTCCTCTTCATTTCATCATTTTCACTGTTCATCATTTCAATCACTCATCATCAAACAAGGTCAAAAATTTGATCACTTTAATAGCAAATATTGAAAGTTATAAGTATTTCACTGATTTTTCACTTTGCCAAATGTTTATCGAGTCCAAAGAAAAGGTAAGGAAACAAGAATGAATTGTAATACAAATAAATGGGAAAACTCTTGGGAGTGAAGTATATATCAACTTGGAGGATAACAAAAGCACATTGAATGGGAAACAATCAAGTTAATGTTTTCGTCAGTCATTTTATTGCCCAATTATGAGCATTCATGTTTGGTGAAACTGGTTCAAGTCAGGTCATTTATATGTGCACAATTATCAAGACAATGTATTAATCCTTTGGGGATGTGGAAGAAAAAAAATGATGAAAAGAGTGAAAAGAAAATTCAGAAGCAAGAAAAAAATTTGAAAAAAACGATGAAAATGACGACATTTGTTATTTTAAATGATTTAGGAGGAGAAACAGGCTAAGCTCAAGGGTAACTTAATCACCTTTTAATGATCATTTACTTGAACCTGGGCAAAATGCGATATCATAATCTTCATCATTCAGCATTTCTATACTTATGATCGCAACCAGACTGATGAGGCCAAAGAAGGCAATTCTTTAACCTAACAAAGTCACTCTTGTCCCATCAAAAAAGACTTGATCAAAGCCTTTGTTTACAAACAATCTTCACTTCTTGTTCTTTATTATCTTTGTCATGAATATTACCAACACTTTAGCATGATTTTGATCATCCTCTTCGTCTTTATATTTCTAATGAACATGAATTTTTTAACCATGAGCCATGAGGTTTGATCGAAAAGGTTTGATTTGGAAATTCAAAGAAACGAGTTTTGTCTTGATTTGCAGTCAACTTACTTGACTAGCCTAACAGGATGCACAGTTAAACCTAAGGAGTCTCTCATTGTGCATCAAACGTTACTTCACAATAACCTTTTTGTCCGTCTAACAATTGATTCAATTTCATCTTTTACTCTTCACCATCGTTTCTCTGTACATCTCTCTTCATCATCTTCACGATACCCATTATGTTCATAATGAACAATCTTAATGATGTGTTTTTTTCCCTGCAATATTAGAAGATAAAAAATTGAAATTTTGAAGGCGAAAAATATCTTTACACTTTAGTAAATCACTTTTTTAATATCAGAAGAAATTTTTTTTATAGATTGAGTAATGATGATGATGATGAATGAATTTGTAAAGAGTTGATGATGAAGATGATTTGTTATGAAAGCCCTATAAAAGGAGGAGTAAAATGTGTTTTATCCCAAAAGACAGTATCAAAGTGATATATAGTAAATGAACCAGTAAGATTCTCGTATCTGTTTAAACCAGTTGAAGAGAGAACCTTTGAGTCTCTAAAATTTAGAAAATACATTTTTCTTTTTTACTTTTCCTTTTCGATCATCATAATCATCATCACCGAAAGATGAAGATCAGATTCTCAGTAAAATAAGACAATTTGTCGAAATAGAAAAGTCCAAGTGAAACAATTTTCCCTCCCAGTCTTCCTATTGGGATAACAATCATCAGTTTTAAATTTAAAGTCATTTATTATCATTTTGTAGGCTTTGTTTTGAACAAACAGTTGACAAAATGGATTCACAATTTTTACCTTGGATCAATATTTAATTTAACTTTTATCAACTTTTTCAGTTGAAAATCAAAACTTTTCACAAAATCATTTTTCATATCAAATCTCAATGGACATTTTAGTCGATTCATACATATCAAAATGATCATCAAAGTTATTATTAAAACTTTTTTACTTTTATCACTGAAAACATTATATCGACTGAATCATTATAATTCATTGAATAATCTGATAATCGGAGTTTCGTGATGATATCAACACTGACATGGTTGGTGTAACTTTTAATCAACAAATTTTGTTTATTATTTTCTGCTATTCTTTCCTCGAAACAATTGTGACTTTTTCTGGGTTAACATCATTTGATTAAATATTTATTGGTTCCTTTTTTTACCTGTTTAATCGATAACTATTTAGTACTTCTACCATTAAAAATGAAAGAGTTTCATCAATACTCTGATTAGACTAATAAACATTTACTGATTAGTCAGGTTAATTATTTCCATTGTATTCTGGAAGTGATTTTTTGGTGAAAAAAAGTCATTTAAGGTTGAAATGATTATACCTTTTAATGGGTTTAAAGGGTTGGAAAGTTGATGACGAGAAGAAGAAAAAAAAATACTTTTTCCTGTGCAAAATTTTCAGGTAAACTCAAGGCACTGGATAAATTGCAAGTTGCCTTGAGTTGTGTTTTCACAAAAGTAAAACTAATCAAACCAACTTATGGAGTAAAAGGGAAAAGTGAAGGTTTCATTTAATAGCTTTTCAAGTTTCACTTCGTTCTTTGATACAAACTTGATTATCATGAAAATGATCTCGAAAGAAAGGTCTTCGAAGTAAAGATTAATCGTTATTAAAAACTTTTGTAATTGACAACTCGTCTAATTGATCAGATTTTCTGATTGAACTTGAGTAGAAACTCAATTTTTATTTCACGTAAAAAACGCTCTTAAGCTTGTAAGTTTTGATGGGCAATGAGCGAATCTATTAGGTTGAGATATTGCTAGGTTGATGGGTCTACTCAAGTCAAAAAAGATTTGTACTAACGATTAGAAATATTATGATCTTCGAGAGGACAAAGATGATGAAGATGAATGATAATGGAAAAGATAGAAACTCGAATTCATAAAAGATTGAAATGAAAATTGAAAAGATAAGATGTCTAACAAGAGCTATTTTTGATGGGACAAGAACGACTTTGCTAGGTTAAGATATTGCTCTATTATAGCCTAACAAGACATGACTTGTTTGACGAAGACAATAAATGGTGAAAACGATAAGCTAATGAGGAAGATGACTTCGAAGACTATTATAATGATGATGATGGTGATGATGATGAGAATGAGAATGATTATTATGGTGATTATGATGATTATTATAGTGATGTTGAGGACAAATCATCAAAAGTAATTATGATTGGAAATTAGTTTTTTTTGTCTTTTTCGTCTCAAAAATACTTACTGAAAGTGGTAAAACACTGATGATGATGATGATAATGATGATGAGAAGGAGGAAAATAATGAGAGAAAATGGTTAGAATAAAAAGAGTTTTTCTTAAAATAAATTGTTGATACAATATATAATCTCATATGTTACCAACGTACCATGAAATTCAGATAGGTTACCAAAAATCTGTGACCCGAGGAGGACCAAGTCATCTAACCTCCTCCATCTTCAACCATCTCATCTTCATCATTTTCTGTCTTCTTTTTTCTTCTTTTTTTTCAATTTTCCCTTCTAACTTCCAATTATAACTAAATTAACTAAAATTATATTTACCTTTTGTATTCATCTCAACATTGATTCTTGCATTGCATTATAATACATTCATTTTGCTTAGACCATTTTACCTTGTTTTGTTTTCCGTTTCGCTCTGTTCACATTCAACTTCAGGGTTTCTCAGATTTTTCATGTTTACCTTTTATCATGATTCCTTTTTTTCCAACCAAATAGTGCTTTGATTTCAATTTATTAATATACTTGATTAGCTGGTTTACTGGAAACATTTGTAAACCCTAATACTGGTTTAATGTTTCACTCCAATGATTTCTGGTAAATTTCAGTTTCGATAATCATTTTTTCTACTCTTTTACTTTCCTTGATCTCTTCATTTTCATTAATTTCAATCGTTTACCAAATTTTTCATCATTTCATAAGCTATCTCAATGTGATTTGATATTTTACTTCATTTTACTTTTTGGATTTGAGTTGAAAAAAATAAATGATTTGAATTAAAGTTGATTGAGCTGATTGTGACTTATAAATATTGATACATATTGGCTTAGTTTTTGGGAAAATTTTATTTTAATTTATGATTTCTTTGACAAATGTTGAGCAAAAAATTTTTTGGTTAGAGGAGTAAGCGTCGCCATCTATTGTCGGAACGGATTAAGAGTAAGTTAGGGTTTTTTGGCTTACATTTTGTATTAATTTAAAATACAACTTGTAATGTAACTTTATTTAAAAATCTAACATTAACAACGATTATTGATTTCAATGACCAATCTGAGGCCAGTAACAGTTCTCTCAGTCTTAGAATAGTGCCATTTTCATAGATCTAATCTTAATTTAAAATGGACTCTTCATTTACCCACTTTGGATGTAAACGTATTGGACTTATTGGTATTAAACTTCGTTCTCGTAGCGAAACATAACAATGTCCCTTTGTCCATCCATAGAAGTTAGACTCTTGACTAGTAAATATCCTTCTTTGCTAAATAATTTTGCGCACAAGTACAAAGAGAAACCGGTTCTCCAGGTGTAGACATTTTTATTGCATAATTTAATACACAGTCAAAATTCCTATGTTTTACTGCACTTCTTCAATGGTCCCTAAATAAGGAGAGGCTAATTTAAATTTGATTTCTTTGTTATAAATTAGATTAATTCAATCTGATTGTCTAAAATATTAATTAATAAAAAGATGAAGTTGGGTAATATTTTGACCTAAACGCAATTTAATGAGGAAGATTGAAAATGATAAAATAACGTTGCTCGGAAAATAGTATAAATAACGCAGTGTAGCTATTCTCAGAGAGCGGCAACAAATTTTTGGGAATCCTGCATTTAATGTTTATCTATAGCAACCGTTGCCTTAGTTTTCATTTATGCTAAATGCGTTTCTCTGATTAGTTGGGAGCCGCTGTTTTACTCTAGACTCCTGTCTTAAATTCAATTGTTAATCATCCTTAACATTTTGTGTTTGTATTTACTACTGGTCATCAACGTTATCAACTTTAATTAAATTTGTTAATTCATCTCGTCTTTCAACCCGGTTTCGGACAAGTTTATTAACACTGGAAATGGCAGATAAAGAAGCGGGTAATTTGCTCTTTTCCTCACCTTCTTACTTTTCCTTTCTTTGACTCTATCCTTCCCTCTCTTTCTCTTTTGTTTCAACTTTTTTCCCCTTTACCCTTTCTATGTGTATCTTTTAACCTTAAATTTTACCAATATTTTAAATGTCTTTGTTTACCATCAATTTCACTTTGACTGTCCTTTGTCTCCACTTGGATCCTGTTATTCCCTTCTTGATCATTGACTATCAGTGGAAGAAAGAGTCATCAATGAAGAGTATAAAATATGGAAGAAAAATACACCATTCCTTTATGATTTGGTAATGACACATGCCTTGGAATGGCCTAGTTTAACTGCTCAATGGTTACCTGATGTCACTAGGTAAGATACATCTTAAAGATTTTTACAACGCTTTCTTCAGAGGCCATTTTGATTTTACTTGTTATCTCAAAATGTCTGCGCTTCTTTATCGTTGTTAATAGGTCTGAGGGCAAAGATTACTCAATACATAGACTCATTCTTGGTACTCATACATCCGATGAGCAAAATCACCTTTTAATCGCAAGTGTCCAATTGCCTAATGAAGACACTAATTTTGACGCATCACACTATGATAGCGAAAAAGGAGGTAAGATATAGCTTTGATTGGATTGAATAAGCCTCATTCAACCGGAGCAAAATTTTCTTTGGTGACAGTGCAACGTATGCCACTTAAACTTTCATCACCTTCTATTCTTTTTCTCAGAGTTCGGAGGATTTGGATCTGTAAGCGGTAAAATAGAAATAGAGATAAAGATAAACCATGAGGGAGAAGTTAATAGAGCCCGATACATGCCACAAAATCCTTGCATAATTGCAACTAAGACTCCATCGAGTGATGTTTTGGTCTTTGATTACACCAAACATCCTTCTCGACCTGGTAAGATAATGATTTAATCAACCTGTTTGGTTTATTAACGAGCAGAACGCATTAAAGGTTATTTATAATAACGTGACTATATTACTCTTATTCAGACGCTAGTGGAGAATGTAGTCCTGATTTGCGGCTTAAAGGTCACCAAAAGGAAGGTTATGGTTTATCATGGAATCCTCATGTAAATGGACATTTGCTGAGCGCATCAGATGATCATGTAAGAAATGCTTTCTGACTGTCACAGACATTGAACCATTTGACTAATTTTTCTTTTTGAACTTACCAGACCATCTGCTTGTGGGATATCAATCATCCTCCCAGAGAAGCAAAAAATGTCTACGCTAAAACTATTTTTACTGGCCATACTGCTGTTGTTGAAGACGTAGCATGGCACTTGTTACACGATAGTTTGTTTGGATCTGTTGCTGATGACCAAAAACTAATGATTTGGGACACAAGGACCAACAATACTTCCAAACCTAATCACATAGTAGACGCTCATGCGGCTGAAGTTAACTGTCTGTCATTCAATCCCTACAGTGAATTCATCTTAGCTACTGGTTCAGCTGATAAAACAGTGGCTCTTTGGGATTTGCGTAATCTTAAACTGAAACTCCACACTTTTGAATCACATAAGGATGAGATCTTCCAAGTTCAATGGTCTCCTCATAACGAGACAATTTTGGCCTCCTCTGGTACAGATCGAAGACTTCATGTTTGGGATCTTAGTAAAATCGGAGAAGAACAATCAGCTGAAGATGCTGAAGATGGACCACCAGAGTTATTGTTCATTCATGGTGGACATACTGCTAAAATCTCAGATTTCTCTTGGAATCCTAATGAACCCTGGGTTATTTGTTCGGTTTCTGAAGATAATATCATGCAAGTTTGGCAAATGGTAAGAACTTATGCGTATATTTTATTGATTATATCTCGTTAACCTTAAATCATACTAATTTATTGTTTTTTTGCAGGCTGAAAATATTTACAATGACGAGGAGCCTGAAACTCCGGCTTCAGAATTAGAACCAGTTGCATCATGAGGCTCTCCACTATCTAGCGTTCATATATTTTGTCAACCAAAATTTGAAGAAACTGGGAATACACACAAAAATCATTTCAATGGATTAAATAAATTCGTGATCGTTTTTTAAAAAATGCGACAACTTTTAACTGCATACTATATGGATCACAAGCACATACAAAAAAATATCTTGATCAATTCGCGAAAAAATTTATCATGAAATTGATTCTTTTTCTCCTAAGTCCTTTTCCTACATAAAATTTTCATCAATCAACAGAGATAAACCAATAAAATTTCTTCATTTGATAACTGATATGTTAGTTGATACATAGTATTATTTATTGCAATCTTGCACTGGTGATAGCTCATAGCTTCAGACAATCATCTGGGAGTTTAATAATTAAACAAATAGTCAAGATGAGCATTACCATGAACTCGATGTTTTTTGTTGAGATAAAAATGTTTAGAGTCATTGAATTGGTCAATGTATTTGGTCGAATCAAATCACGTAACGTTACTGTCGATCTTTCCGTATTCGTCAAACTACTTTTATATGCCATTTCTTGAGGAGTTGATTAAGAACTTAATTATAAGCCAATATTGAGCTAACTAATCATGTGTTGACAAATTGGAATGAAAGTTACTGGAAGCGATGATGCTTTTAAAACCTTTGATTAAACAGATTTAGGAATTGCAGAGATTACTGCGAACGGAATTTCAAGAAATGAATGAATAATTAAGCTAAATTGTTAAAACAATGAACTAAACTTAAACTAACTTGAGTGAATTGATCAATGATCACTCTGAAAGCCATCTATTATTAAAAAAAATGATGAGATTGAGCGAATTGTTTGAAATTGAAAATTGTTGACTGTAATCTGTCAGCGAGTTCAAAGAGCTTGAAAAAGCGATAAAGGCTGAGTCAGATCCAGGAAAATCAAACAAGCCTTTACAGAGAATACAAACAATCTGGTTAAAACTGATTTAAAATGATTAAATAAACAGAAAGCTTTTTGATAAGGAGATTAAATTTTTGCTTGAAAAACACATGGTTTAGTTTGAGTCGACTGAGCCGGTTAAAACTTGATTTTAACCAAGCTGATGTTGAAGCCAACCGACTGAGTAAAGTGGCTAACTTAGGTGTCTAGCTTGCTAGTAAATACTCTCACCATTTTTTTTCATAAAAATTGTTTTTAACCTCTTCTCATCTCTTCTGCTTTTCACAATGAAGCAGAAAGATAGCATTTCTTCGATTATTTCACCCCTGGTCCGACCAGGGCCATCGGACATTAGCTTCAAAAATATGAGATTCCTTATCATGGACAGGCCAACTGATAATACTTTAAATAACTTCATAGAGGTAAATATCCTGTTTTTCAACACCTTTTCCCTCTTGCCTGTCTTTACCAATCATTTAATCTTGATCAGCAACATCATGAGAAACAGCCTTACTAACCAAATCATTAACCATATTGTCCATTTTATCTGACCTGGTTTAAAAGTAGACATTTCTTTTGTATATCTCTATGCTCTTGCTTTTTTGGTGTGTCTAACATGACATTTTTTCATGTCCATGTTTTCTTGCTGTTTATGTTATTTTCACCATACATTCCAGTTTATTTTTCTTTGTTGATTGATTTGTTTTTATTCTCCTTCTCTCTATACTCATTGATCACTAAATTTGTTTTCATTTTTTCTTCCACAGGAGCTCAAGAAAAGAAATATTCGTGATGTTGTGCGTGTCTGTGAACCAACTTATAGGACTGATTTATTAGCTAAAGAAGGAATCAATGTACATGATTGGCAATTTGATGATGGATCTCCACCACCGCAACATGTGGTCGAGCAATGGTTTGAATTGTTAAGGACAAGGTTCCAAGAAGATCCTAACAGCTGTATTGCTGTTCACTGTGTTGCCGGTCTTGGTAGAGCTCCGGTGCTAGTGGCTCTAGCATTGATTGAATTAGGAATGCAGTATGAAGATGCCATTGATTTAATTCGTCAAAAGAGGAGAGGAGCGATTAATGCTCGGCAACTATCATACCTTGCTGAGTACCGTCCTAAGTCCCGACTCAAGACGAAACTACGTCAAACTCATAAATGTCTACTGCATTAATTTCACTCTGTAACATCCTCCTTCATTAATCAGTATAGTAAATTTATTCCACCTTCATTAATCTCATCTTTTATTAACGTAAACTCAAGTTTGTACTCGATTTTATGCAAACTGGTCACTTGAGAACTCTACCTTATCTCAACTTTAATACCAATGGAAGAACTGAACAGAGTAGACATGAAACCAGTTTAAAAATGAAAGAAAACATCTACTCAAGAGTATAAAAAAACAACGTTCATTGATACAAATAAATTGTGGAATCGAGCAACACGAGCCAAAAATGCATCACTCCTTTCATAAGCCAGGAAAAAACAACATTGAGTTAGTAAAGATGTTTTGAATATAAATACAGTAAGTGTAATCATTATTGATTATCTATCATTATGGCTGCAAGAGTCACACATGATTTACAAGTTTACATTCAAAAAGTATGATATGAGACAAGTTAAGAGGAATTTGATTATCTACGATAAAGTCTTTCAACTGCGTACGAAGTTTGTCAATCGGTTTTTAATAGCTTGTCTTCATCTGAATCTAACTGAAATTACTGACAAAGTCTTGTTAATCAAATGAGATTGCTATATTGATGTTTACTGATTAAAATGAACTTTTAGAAAATTTGATTTCAAATTATTTAGAGACTGGAAGAAGCTAAATGTTACAACTTTAATTGTGAATGGTAACACTTCGAAATTGCAAAATTTTCGGTTAAAATAAGAAAAATGTCTTTCATTTTAGACAAACAGAAATCAAAACTGATTGTATGAGCAAACAAATTAATTTACGCCATTATATCGATAAATAAATATCTAATCTTTACTTATTTCTCACTCAAGAAACTCATTATAAGTCAATAACAAGTTATATTAATCACTTTTATCAATCGAAGAGTTTTAATTACAATTCTAGTTTGTTGTTGCGGCTCTTTATTCACTCTGTTTCTTCTGTAGATAAGTTTTTACTCTTGATCTTTATATTATTTCTTGTCTTTCAGTTAACAATGGTAAATAAAAGTGTAACCAAAGTACCAACTGATCAACAGCAAAATCAATATTCCAAATTGATTGATGGTCAATTCCCATCAGAAAATGTTCTACAAACGCTGGTAAATATTCGAGATTTTGAAATTGAAGCTAAAAAACGTATTTCAAAAAATGCTTGGGGTTATTATAAATCAGGTGCTAATTATGAGATTACACTGAAGGAGAATGAAAATGCTTTCAATAGACTTCGATTGAGGCCAAGATTTTTCAATAAAGATGTAAGTCATGTCAATCTACAGACAAAGGTATTTGGTCAAAAAATTGCTTTTCCTATTGGTGTTTCACCAACGGCAATGCAAAGAATGGCTAATCCAATCGGGGAAATAGGAACAGCTCGAGGTAAGAACAAACCTTTTGTTGTTCAATGAATTTTTTGAACCAGATTGGATCTTCTTCGAGTTCTCTGAATTATTACATTTACTTATTTTCTAACACATTTAATGATATAAAATAGCTTGTCAAAAAATGGGAACCATTTACACAATGTCTACATTGGCAACTTGGTCAGTGGAAGATATTGGTCGGGAAGCACCGAATGGTATCAAATGGCTCCAATTGTATATCTATAAAAATCGAGAAGCTAGTTTGAATTTGGTTCGTCGAGCTGAGTCCGCTGGATTTACAGCTTTAGTGGTTACTGTTGATTTACCCATAACAGGACAAAGATATGATGATATGAGAAATCAATTTGTATTACCAGAGCCTTACAAATTAGCCAATTTACCCGGTGACTTGTCTGTAATGGGAGACAAAAAAGACGGTTCAGGATTACAAAACTATGTAAGCGATGCGTTTGATGCTTCTTTAACTTGGAAAGATGTTGAATGGTTCAAGAATCAAACAAGTCTTCCATTAATCGTGAAAGGTATTCTGACGGCAGAAGATGCTATTTTGGCTGTTGCTCATGGCGCAAAAGGAATTGTTGTTTCAAACCATGGAGCTCGTCAATTGGACACTGTCCCAACATCAGTAAGTAATCTAATTATTGAATTTACATGAATTCATTATTATCAATCGAAATGACGAAGAGCTAGAAACGCTGAATTTATGAGCTAAACTTGGAAATTGTCTGCCTTCGATCCTTTGTTAGATTGAGGTCTTACCAGAAATTGTTCGTGCCGTTGGAAATAAAGCGGAAATCTTTCTTGACGGTGGGATAAGAAGTGGAACTGATGTACTTAAAGCTTTGGCTTTGGGTGCAAAAATGGTATTCGTTGGTAGACCTGCAATTTGGGGTCTCGCGTGTGGAGTAAGTATTCAATGTTTCATTTTGCGCTTTCTTTAATTAGTTAATCACAAGGAACCTTATTCGTTTTTGATTTGATTATTAAATTTACATTATTACTCTTATTTGTTTCTTTCTAAAGGGTGAATCAGGCGTTGTCAAAGTACTGGATTTACTGAAGAAGGAATTGGAAATCGCAATGGCTTTATCGGGCTGTTCAACTCTTGAAGATGTCACATCCGCATTAGTTTGTCGTTCTGATTCATTTTGGTCGCATTTGTAAGCTTATAATGACGTTAATTATAAATTACATCGGGATATGTAATAACTTTCTTTAAATAAAAATATCCAAGAGGGGGTAATTATATTAATAAATATGAAAATCTATTCTGTAATATACAAAAATGATGATAGTTTGTCTCGCTAGTTTACCATAAGAATTATGCTCCTGATGTTTGACTCTTCATCGAGTGTTTAGCGCTCATTTCTAATTGTTTGACTCGTGTATAACCAGCTGATCCAAATATGACTAGTAAATTGCTTATCCACCAAATAAATGATTTTTCTTCACTATACCAGATACACGCAAGAACTGTTTGAGCGCAAGCTTTAGCAGTCCCTGAGATGTTATGCGTTAAAGGCGAAGTAACCTTTATCTGTAAACCAGTAACAAAACCAATAGAAACTGCAAGAAGTCCGCTGAGAGTCATCATGGTCCAAAACTTTAAGCTAGTGAGATGCTCGTATCCATAAATAATCGGCAATTCCCCACTAATGGTAATAAGTATGGTAAATAGAATAAGAGCATTTACATTATTGTAGAAATTCAACATCCAAATATTACCATCAACAGCAGGTAAAATACTTTTAGTAAAAATGGAATTAAGTGAAACAAAAAAGCTAGCAGCTATACCAAAAAAGATCCCCGAAAATGTTAGGGATCCTTGTAGTGATTCTTGATCGACACCAACTATGAATCCAATGATTATAACGATACAACAGAGAGTTGCCTTGGCTGATGTGATTTCTCTCAGAATAAAATAAGTGAGAATCACATTAAACACAGTTGTCAGTGATCTACCAACAAAGTAGAAAGCAACACCGACAAATTTAAGACACAAGAACACATCGTGATCATTCCGACAAATACTATAGACAACGGGAATACTTTTTTTACAATTGTTGGCCGAAGATGTAGTCTAGGGAATCCTAACCAGTGAACCCATGATGGTCTAACCTGACCAATGAAATTACAAACAAGGCAAAATATTATGGTACAAAGGCACTGGTAAAATGTGATGAAAAGCGGAGCTTCAAAATTGACGGATTTATCGCTTAGTATATGTTTATTGATGAAAACCATTGAGATTGAAACGATCCAATATAGTGCAACTACCAGAGTTATCTCAATGTACCTTGCGGTCAAAGATTTTTCCTTTTGAGGTTCTAATAAGGGCTGCTGTAGCGTCATTGTTGAATAAAATCAGAATAGTTGATAGATGATAATAAACACGAAAGTTAAGAAAAAATGGGCCAAAATAGAACCACCAACTGGTTAGAATTTACACAAGTCAGATCAATCTAATGATGGAAAAGAAGAAAATGAGAAAAATATGAAAATTTTATATTAGCAATAACACATCAGAATATAAAGATCATCATGTTGATAAAAATCAAGATTATGAGCTACAACTTTCCTTTCCTATTTGTTAATCTACAGCTAGAGATTTTTTAACGAACTAGCAACATATTTGTGAAATATGAAGCAAAGGCAAGAATATTTCTGTATACCATGAACATTGTCTGAATGATTACATACCTTATTAAGATATTGAAACAATAGACTAGAATTGAATCAATTCACCATCCGAAATCAACGAATGGATAGCGAGAAATAATAATTACCCATTGATAGACAACAAAATCCTTGATTGCAATGAACCAGAGCACTAGTTTAATGTAACAATCCAGAGCTGTCAAACATGCCAATCAACTAAAGATTTGATGTTGTAAGTTAATCACAAAAATAATGGTTGACAGACAATTGAAAACAATGTTTATTGTAAATTGTGAAAACTTCATTATCGATATATCGAAAAGAATAACAGATGTTTATCGATATCAAATAATTTGGATCTCATAGACTCGATATTGTTATGAATCTATATAAAGATGAAGCTTAAGCATCAAAATGCTTAGCAAACAGTAACCGTGATTAGTTCCCACCATTTATAAATAACCGGTTACTTTGTAGTTACAAGCTTTGAAGCGTTACCATTCGAACAATTTACCCAACAATTTTATCCAATTCAAAAGATAGCAACTCTTCTCGTAAATTCCCTTTTTACAACGATCCATTGATGACTAACACTATGTATAACCTAATCGGTAAATCTCATAGCAAATGCAATGAAAGGACAATACCTTTCATCCTTGCATAACCCGACCTAAGTTCATTACTCAGAACGCATGTTAGAAGTGGATAATAATTCTAAAGACATGCTGGAGTCATCTACTGTGGGCATGAGTAAAGCATCATGCTCGTCTTTGTGTTTAGCATAAAGTGAAAATAAACAATTAACAGAAACAATTAAACCGCCTTCAGAAACCGAAATGATTCGCATACTTTATTTTCAATCTGTTTTTTAACAGAACTGATATTTTAAATTAATAACAGAATCGAAAGATAATGAGGGTGTAATTTTAAAAAAATCCTCTGGTAATTACCATAGAGATTTCAATAAAACAAACATTTTCTTCTCCTTTCTGTTTCATGGATTTTAATGTTGATTGAGTTTTTGACAATCCTGCAACAATTAGTTCATGCTAGCTAATTGTAAAGCTGGTTTAACAATAAATAAATTTTGTTGTTAACAAAAAGTATTAAAGCTTTTTTAGTTGTTTAGGTTTAAGAAAAATCGGTTGCTTTGTAACCATGAAAGTATCCGGTTAGAGTAACCAACATTGGTTACTTCGCTTTCCCTCTAACCAATTACCCGGTTACCAGTAACCAGAGCATTTCTACAAAGAAGGGACAGTTTTTACTTTAATCAACTGTAAGTCAATTTCTGATCCCTCATTTTTTTTGAGTAAGCTGTTACTTTTTTTTAATATTCATCGTCAAGTATACTTTTATTTTTTGACCATTCTCAAATAAATTAGTGGTTCACTTTGTTATATCCTGATTGCTTGTTCGCTTCCATCATGGCAATGTCCCAGTTGGAGCATTCCATAGCTTCATCTTCATTAGCTCTCTCATCTACAACTATATCAACCTCAACCGTTACTACAACTTCTGCGACAACCAGCAACTCAACTATCACTCTTATTAATCCCGCTTCATCTTCATCAGCTCTTTCATCTACAACTACATCAACTCCAACTGTTACTACAACTTCTACGACCACCAGTAACTCAGGTATCACTCTTACTAACACCGCTCCATCTTCATTAACTCTTTCTTCTACAATTTCATCAACCACAACTGTTACTACAACTCCTGCGACTACTAGTAGCTCAACTATCACTCTCATTAATCCCGCTCCTTCTACATTAGCTCTTTCATCTACAACTACATCAACCCCAACTGTTACTACAACTTCTGCGACTACCAGCAATTCAGATATCACCATTACTAATACCACTTCATCTTCTACAACTACAGGAGCCACAACAAATTCAACACCGAGTACAAATTCATCTAGTACAGCACCTAGTGCAGCCAGTAACGCAAATACTAATGTTAACCCTGCAATTACCGGTACTGGAAACAAATTATATTTGATTAATACACCTAAATTTGATTCGATCAAAATAATAGAATGGAAAGATGGTATTGGTACTCTACCTGGAAGTAAATTAAAATTCAAAGTTAATGAATATGGTACTTTAGAAATGCTCTACGATGATGAGCATATAAAAGTTGCCGATAAGCCAGTTCCAAAACCTATTGAATCTGTTAAAGCTCCAACGGAAAGCAGCAATGGAACAAGTACCAGTACCAATAATACCAATAGTACCAATAATAACAATACTACCAATAATACCAATAATACAAATAATGATAGTAAGAATAATAACAATAATAGTAGCAATAATAGTTTGTCTATTACTCTATTAGCGGAATGCGTCAATTGTGGAATCAAAGGAGTCAAGTCTAACTTTATACGAAATGGACGTTTTTGTAGTCAATCGTGCGCAACTATGCAATCGACGGCTTTGAAAATCTTCAGCAAATTATCAACTATATCAGGTAACAATAACTCCGGCAACAACAGTAACGACAATAATACCTCTAACAGCAATAGCAATGTCGCTAAACCTGACTTTGTTAAGAAAAAAATTCTCTACAAGGGAGGAAGAATGTATGTTGATATCTTGTCAGACAAAGTGCGCGTTCGCCAACCATTTTTAATGCGAACTGATCGATCAGATATTGTCCTTAGTGCCAGGTCTGAAACACCTGACGGTTTGGACCTGCTTGATGCAAATGAAGAGATTGAAAATATTGATTCCTTCACAGGTATCAATGTACCCCATAAAAAGTTTAATTGGAAAGAGTATTTGGAGGAAACAAAAACATTTTGCGCTCCAGTTAGATGTTTCAAAGAGAATCAAACATTTCCAAGTGTCAAAAATGGTTTCAAAGTTGGAATGAAACTAGAAGGGATCGATCCTCACAATCCTGCTTTATATTGTGTGCTTACTGTGGCTGAAGTTGTTGGTTTTCGACTCCGTCTTCATTTTGATGGTTACCCTGACATCTACGATTTCTGGGTAAACGCTGACTCCCCGTTCATATTTCCTGTTGGTTGGTGTCAAAAAACAGGACGAAAATTAGAGTCACCCAAAGAGTTTTTTGGCTCTTTCAATTGGGCCAACTATTTACAAGTTCATAAATCTCAGGCAGCGCCAAATTACCTTTTTTCATGTGTAAAGTCAAGTTATACATTAAGTCAATTTCGAGTTGGCATGAAATTGGAAGCCGTTGATAAAGCAAACACTTCTCTTGTATGTGTAGCCACTGTGGCTGATATTTTGGATAATTATATTTTAGTTCATTTTGATGGCTGGGATGACAGCTATGATTATTGGATCTCAATGACATCACCTTACATCCATCCCTACGATTGGTGTCTTGAAAGGGGTAAACCTCTTACACCTCCAAAAGATTATCCTTTGAAATCGAATGAAAAATTCAAATGGGCTGATTACCTAAAGGAGACTAAAGCTACAGCTGTCCCTGCTAAAGCTTTTCGATTACGATCGAGCAATAGTTTTCGGGCTGGCATGAAATGTGAAGTTGTCGACAAAAGGTATCCAAGGCTTATCCGTGTAGCCACTATTGTTGATAGGCGACATCATACTGTAAAAATTCATTTTGACGGTTGGGATGAAAAATATGATTTCTGGTTAGACGATGACTCTCCTGATATTCATCCCGTCAATTGGTGTGCTAAAACTAATCATCCCTTACAACCACCACCAAGCTATTTCCGTAAAAATACTGAGATACCCAATTGCCCAACGCCCGGGTGCTCTGGTTTTGGTAGCATTAAGTCAGCTCGATTTACACTCCATAATACTTCCGCCAATTGTCCATATTCTGATGAAAATATGGAAAGAGAATTACCTGATCGTTTTGGACGTGACTTTTCGGATGATGAAATACATCCTAAAAGTCCACCAGGGGAAGAAAACAGCTGTCCACCCAGTCCGACCTCATTTTCTGATATGAGGCGTAAAAGAAAACGTAAGCGTGAAAACTCGGGCTCATCAGCATCTGATTCTGTGAAACTTTCAAGACCTTCAACTCCATCTTCTTCGCTTTTCCAACACAACAAACATAATTATTCAGCAACAATATCCACTCTCCACCAAGCCATATATTCTTTACGAATGAATCAAAATCAGTCTAACGAAGCGCCATTAGCTTGGGAGAAACACTCCAAAAATTTACTCAGCTTTGCTGATAAAGTGAACGCTAGTGAAGTGCTTCAATGGGGTCCAGATAAAGTTGCTCAATTTGTTTCAACTATTCCAGGTTGTCAAGATTTTGGTCGGTGTTTCGAAGATGAGGTAATTATATCAATGTGCTTTTAATTATCTTCAACCTTGTTTCTTGTTTACTAATAACACATTTCCTTTAACTTCTATTCTAACCTCATTTGCTCTATCTCTTGATCCAGATGATCGATGGTGAAGCATTTTTACTCCTCAATCAAACTGATCTGGTCACTCATCTTGGTATTAAATTAGGACCTGCTGTCAAAATCTATAATAGTATTCTGGTTATTCGTGATAATATAGAAGCTTAACCGACACATATTATCGAACTTTTTTCCTACTCATCATCAGACAGAAAAAAGTTTTATCTGTAAAACAAATTTCTGGATGCAGAATTAATGAAGTACCACTGATTCAACGTTTGACTGTCCATCTATTCCATCAAAGTTAAACAATGTTGGAAAAAAGAATAATTTTAAATGGAATCATGAAATTCTTTTTTTTCTGTTTTCAGGGACTTAAAACATAAGACGACCGCTTTTTTGTTTTTTCTTCGTCATTGATCAATTCGGTAGATTGCAAACGGTACTGTTTTCATGAAAGTCCATAAAAATCTTCTAATTTATAACACAAATTGCTTGTTTTAATTAAACAACCGAACCATTTGCGAGCTGTATGTGTTTCTCATCCTTTTTTTAACTAGAAATTGATCTCTGCAATCTTTTATTGTTGAATAATTTTATCGATGATGAATTAAATTTTACGATTGCAATCTTAGGCTAGCTTTTTAGATTTTAAACATTCAGTTCATACAATCACTAATTATCCAGCCTCTTAACTGTGATTAGATGGACCCTCTTTGGTTTCTTTCTGTTATCAAGACTGTAACATTATGCACATCCTTCTTCAAAGGCAAAAGCTTGATCTAAGAAGAAAAGCTCTTCATCGAAACTGATTCTGTTTTTGATCAGAGATCTACAGATTCTAAGATTTTTTAATAAAATGAATGTTTAATTTAATCTGTTTCTCGTTATTCTGTGATCGTCAAAAGGCTATCTGTAATAGGAAGTAGTTTCAGCTGGTAAAAATAAGCCGCGGTTGTCAAGCTCTCAATTCGGTTATTTAAGACACTCACATAAAACCTGAATAATTTTTGCTATTTTAATTTCCCCTCATTCAAACTCTTTCATCTAAATAAATTGTCTCAGAAATTAAACCTTGGTTAAACTATTAGTTGAGGGATATTTATGATTAACTTGAATTTAAAGAAACCGCGACAATTTTACTCACTATAACCGCTCTATTGTCAGCTTTTTAGTTAGTTTTTGCATGGTAAATAGACCCAGTTGGAAGATTGGATTTTAATTTGATTGTGGCAATATGAGTTCTCCGAGTAAGTATTCAATAACATTCTTGTCCGAGTTGATATCTAAAGTTCTAACTTTCCTTTACAGACGCTGATTTAATAAGTATTTATGAAAAGAACAAGGCTTCTTCATCTTCGCCAGCCTTAGCAACATGTAAAGCTTTAATGGACATTTTGGAAACTGATAATTGTAAGTTGCAACTGAGTAATTAATTTAATGTTGATATGGACTAATGCCTATTTTTATTACAGCTGCAACTTATGCAGAGTTTGTCGCAAAATTACAAAAAGTTATCGAGACATTTGAGTCCATAGAGCCATTGATTGAAGTCCAATCAATTTCAGAGATATTCTTACGCTTTATAACATTAACTGCATCCGAATATCAGGTATGTTTACATTCATGTTTTTTTATATAGATTGTAATTTTGAATGTTTCTCTTTTACATAGTCTATCGACGAAATGAGAAAAGCCCTTAAATTACGTGGTAATTTGTTTTTGGATAAGGTTGTAAACTGTACACAAAAGATTGTTAAATATGGGCATCCATTTATTTACGAAGGATCTAATATATTGGTTCACTCTTATTCACCAGTTGTTTTAGAGACTTTTTTGTTTGTTAAAAAACTTGGGAAACGTTTTTGTGTGTATGTTACTAAATCTGCACCTGACAACAGTGGGGAAATAATGTATAATAAATTGAAAGCTCATGGAATCCAATGTTCACTAATACTTGACGCTGCCATTGGACATTTTATTGAAAAGGTTGACATGGTTATGGTCGGTGCTGATGGTGTTGTTGAGAATGGAGGTATAATCAATAAAATAGGAACTTATCCTTTAGCATTATGTGCTAAAGCTTTCAACAAACCTCTTTATGTGTTGGCTGAAAGTTACAAATTTATTCGTCATTATCCATTAAATCAAGCAGACATACCACAACCTATTCGAGGATCAGACAAAAGGATTCGAAGGAAAAGCGGCACAGTCGACGAGTCTGGTCCATTAGTTGACTATACTCCACCCAATTATATTACCCTTTTGCACACTGACTTGGGTACTTTAACTACTGCCGCTGTTAGTGATGTTCTTATACAACTTTATTTATGATAATTAATCAAATGTACAGCTGTATTTTGATAAAGGATAAAAAGAATGTTCTGTTTTGGCTTCTGTATTCTAATATTATATTTACCTTTCATCATAAAAGTTTTATGATAAAACTCAAGCTCATTTTTTCTTAGAAAGCTAAGGTTACCCACCAAACAACTTTGATCTGAGAAAAGGTGAAACCATAATCAAAACTCATACTGTTTTAACAGAATATGATTAAACCATAAATTTCAATGAATATTCAAGCGATCATTTTCCATTACTCAAAGAGCGCTGTTAACTATGCCATAAACCATTGAACTCACTGACGCAAAGCAAACCCAAAAGACATCCAAAGCTTTTTTCTTATTCTAGGACCAAAATAAGCGAACAAAAAAATCGAACAAGTTTACTTTTCTAAGCTATAAAATAATACAAACAAACATAAGGTTGCTATTCCTGCTCTATCATAAAGGAGAAATGATATTTCTTGTAAACATTAATATGATGTATGTCCAGATTTTATATTTATGTATAATTTGTTTGCGATAAAAGATTAGACATTATTGATCCACCATAAAATGAAACCACGAATCATCTACCATGAAATACTTCTCTTCGCGATTAAACTTTTCATTTAAGGTGACAATTATTGGTTGAAAAACAAAGCGTAGAGTAATCATTATTCAAGATCATCTATTCAATAACTTAATGCACATCTTTGGTAATAACACTGGGATGTTTTACATGAAAAATTACATGTCGAGATTATTCACCTCATTGTAATGAAACATTCAAAATGGATTACCGAGTAGTCTATAGTTACAATAATCGGGTGAACAATAACGTGAACTTATGCAAATAACTGTAAATTATATTAAAATTTCCTCTCATTACGTGGTATTTATTTATTATACACTATTACAGTAGTTACACTAGATTAATGGTACTCATTTTGATTCAACTGGAAGATCTTCCTCATCAAACAACCTAGTTGTGTTGTGGTAAATTTTTCCTGGTATTGGACACAATCTTTTATCCCGACGCACAAATGCAAGATCCTGTCCCCTCCCAGATAGATCGGTCTCTAGCAATCCCGAATGTCCACCATTTACAAATTGGGCCCAAAGCTGTAGGTGCTAACACAGTGACTCCAAGAGCTGCCACTGATGGAACAACAGCCCACCACATGATTCAATTTATTGCCTGTCCTTTGATAAACTCAAATCTGATTCTGAAAACAAGAAAATACACTCAATTTATTACTTAAGCAATTGAATTTAACAATAAACAAAAAATCAAAACAACTTACCCTTGATCAGTAGTAGAGTCACTGTTAAAGGTGGACGATATTATCGATACTTAACTAACTCGATTCTATCGATAAACCATACAGTTTTATCGATATATCGTCTTCATGATCAGTGTTTAACCAGAAAGTGCTGCTTCCTTACATGATAATTCTGGGTAGCTCAATACCCAGAATTATCATGTTACATCAATCAATTTCTGCCAATTTATTCGTTAATCTATTCAAAAACCGCTAATTACTGATATTGTCTGCAAAAATATCGAGACTTTTTAATCAATATTGGATTATTGAATATTTTTTATATTTTCACACAACAAAAAAATAATCATTCTTTGTGATCGGAAACGATTGGAACGAATAGAGATAAAACCTAAAATTTATGATTATTTGATAATACATTTCTTTGAGTAGGACTGGTTGTGAGACCTTTATCTAGAATTAGAATTATCTTATTCCGAAGCTAAAAAATTGTTAAAGCTCAAAATGTTCAATGCTCATGAAAATCGTAACCTTTATTACCGGTTAGACATTTTCATCTTTAACAATTTTTCTGATTTTAAGATAATTGATTGTTCTTTCCCGCTTTACTTCGATTTTTTCTCAATTTAGTTTCTCTGTTCTTATCTGATTCCTAGTTCTGGGTTTTCAAAGCACAAAGCAAAGTTCTGTATTAATGGACCATTTCAAGTTAAAGAAGGAAAAATAGCCAATTTTACATTGAATTACTCTTGACAGTATTCATATTGTGATTATAAATGTACTTAAGGAGGCAGACCAAAAATGATGAACCATTTGCATGGCTTCAAGACGTTTTTCACGGCATGTAAAATGAGTATGCCAAGTCAGCGGAGAACGGATGATTCGAAAAGCTCGAGTCAATAGATGTCACAGACAAGGAACTTCACAACAAAACTCATAACAATAATATTTGCAATCTACTCGATTTCACTTTAAGATAATTTTTGTCAAACTCCTTGCATCCTACAACCAGAACATATCGAAAACAGAGCTTTTCTGTCCTTTCAGTTACTTACTTTCACTAATCAGCTCTAGTTTTCATGAGATTTATGAAATGCTTCTCTTCCTCATTATGCTACATAAGCTGCACTAAACAATTAGATCCGAGTTATCCGGATCTAAAGCTAGCCAGTTAAACTAATCCGGTCGTGTCAAAACCAATGAATTAACCGAGAAAGACAATAATTTGAAGCTGAACAAGACTAAAGATTGTCAATTTTCAGACAAAAATTTGAATTCACCTTTTATATCAGAATCAAACTCGAAGAATCGAAGCTAACTCAAGCTAAAAACTTCAAGACTGCACAAATTACCGATAAACTGGCTTGATCAATCGACTAGCCTGAAGATCCACATATTTCATCTAACAACATTGTAAAACTGAACACATTAAACTCCAATCATTGGGAATAAGTGATAATGAACGTCTAAAGTTTCCTTTCCTGTGAATAGAAGCGAAGATAAATTGGCTTCTCTTATTGGTATTCTGTTGAATACTTGATAAACTGAATAGTTATGTTGAACATTTTAAAATTTATTTGTTAATTTTCTTGTAATCAATCAATTAATGAAATAAGTTTGTATTCCTTAATAATAATCGTTTAATCTCAATTTTTCGGTTGTCGCCCTCCAGTGGGCATAAGTTGAACATAAACTCTCTCTCTTCTTTACTCTTTGTTCTTACTGAAGTAAGGCCTTTTACCGAGGCTGTGCAAGAAAGTTGGAGTAAAGTTGTGTGTGAGTTTCATCCAGAGTATTTTCACATACTTTTCCTTTCTTCTTAACTCACTTTTTTTACTCTTCCAACTTTTTTCTCTCTTTCTCATGTTTATGTTGTGATTATGTTTCAATCTGTATCATCAGGAATATACCAAAACAATCTTGTCCATGATGATGATGATAATAATGGTAATCGTGGTTAACAGTCAAAGTGTGATGAGAGTTATAAAGCCTTTTTAGCAACATCCATTGGGCTTACCATCCAAAGAAGTTAAATTTTCTTTTCCTCTCTTTGGTCTTCTTTATTTCCACCTTCTCCAAACATTTATATAAAAAACTACTACACCTTTTTTTTGTCCCGTCATTTTCCCATTCTTATACTCTAAACCATTTCCGACATTTCCATCTCCACCAACTGGATCTCCAACAAGACAACCATTAACCATCACCACAAGTCATCGTCATTAGTCACCATTAGTCAGTGAATTGAATCTCTGTCCTCAGTGTTTCCATCAACGATCACCGCCATGCCATCACGAAAATATATTTATTTAGACGAATATGATTCCCGAATTGCTCTTTACTCGGATGAAGCCTTCCAACATGGGATCACATTTAATGCAAAGGTAACCCAACATTATTCCCATTGATATTATTTGGCAAAATTGAGATAATTGAAAAGCAAATGAAGCCAATGATCATTAAACCATCAAAATACCCTGTGGATAAAAAGCATTATTTCTCCTACCAGCAACTGTGTATTAATGGTGTTACACATATTTTTCACTTGCAGCTTTCTTTTTCTCTCTCAACACTTTTCTCTTTCATTGATTCCCATTTTTCTCTGTTCATATCTGTGGTGTTGTTACTGTTCATCAATAGTCAATCATTTATCAACAATTAATACAAAACAATGTAGTAAAAGATTGAAACAATGTGGTTTAACCATCAACTCATCAGAAAATGTTTTGTTTTCTTTTTCTCTCTTGTGAGTGCGTTGCTATTGAAGCAAACCATTTTTTTTTCCTGGCAAAAATCAATGTTTCAAAAACCATCAAACATGAGAAAAAACGATGAGTCAACCTCAATATTGCATGCATTAGTCAATAACAGAAATAATCACAAGAAAAATGGAATTGGAAATAAAACAGAAAAAGTTAAACTCTTACAAGGGAAGTAACCTCGTTGGTACGGGCAGATCAAAATGAAAGTGGGATTAATGGAAAGCCCGTGTCAGAAAACCCTTAAAAACACTAATCTCCCGTGGAGGAAATCGATCTGAAAAAAGTTACAGGGTCGCAAATGTTTTAATCACGGAGGTCAAAATGACTAATAAAATCAAATTAGAGACAGATATTTTTATCAAACTAAACAATTTAGGTGTAATTGATCATGGGGGATGCAAATCTGAAATCAGTTTATTCCTAAAATTTTTTGTTTTCGAAAAAATCGCAAAAAACCACGAAAACAGTCGATAAAAATTC